GTCAACTCTCTTACTCTCACAACCCTGGGGGAGGGGGCTCTTTGGGTTTCCATCACAGGATTAGCTCTAGTGATAAGGTGCCCTCCTGTGGTGAGGGGTGGGGCCATCTTTCCACAGTGCAGGGCACAGCCTACCCGAGGTCCAGGGCCAGTTCTCCTGCTGCTGTATCCAATGAAGGGTGGGGCTTGCTCAACACAGCGTGGTTCCAATGTGTCATTGGACATCATCACAGACCTCAGCTGCAGCAGGACCATGGAGACCCAGACAAGGACCTTGGCAGCAGCTTAGGCCAGGACTTTACCACGGCCCCGGAGGCAGCACAGGGCACCCAGACCAGTATGTCTTCATTGGCAGCAAGGTTCTTAGGCATCAGCATAGTCTCATGTGGTTGACCAGACCCTGGGCATCTGCAGAGTCCTCAGTGGTAAAAGGAGCTATGGAAACCACCCCAGACCCTGGCTACTGCTGGACCATGAACCCAGCCAAGGCCCTCAGCAGTGGCCTGTGCCTAGATGTCCCTTTGGTCCCAAGATAGCAGTACTGGCCAACCATATCAGTATGGTCCCTTATTAGTGACATGGTCTGTTATTCTTTTTTTTAAAAATGCTGCAAAATCCCCGCGGCAGTAGGCAGCAGAAATGCTGTAGGCCCCAAATGGTAGTGGCGGGCCATGTGGTGGCAGGCAGCGGGCTCTGGGAGCAGCTAGTCCCAGGCAGAGACGGCTGCCGGTCCCAGGCAGGGAGACACATGGCGGGCGGGCAGAAGACAGAAACATGGATAGACACGACATGCAGGGTGAGGTTGAATGTTTATTCAGGGGGTTATGGAGGAGGAAGGGTGAAGGGAGGACAGAGAGAGGAGAGAGAGAGAAAAGGAGAAAGAGACAGAGAAGGGGGAAGTGGAGAAATGGGGAGAGAGGCCGAAGCGAAGCTGCCTCTCCGAGAGGAAGATGGAAAAGAGAGCGAGCTCAGGCCGGAAGCTGAAGATCAGCCTGCCTCAGCAGATGGGGGAGGGAGTGGGCGTGGCTTGTCTCTTAAAGGGACCAAAGCCATAACATTCCCAGGTCTCCCTTATAATAAAAAAGCAGATTAGATCTCTTAAAGAGACCAAAACCATAACATGGTCCTTGGACACCAACATGGTCGTAGGTGGCTGAACAGGTAGGTAGCCTGTCATCCACATGGCCCTCAGTGGTAACAGGAGCCACAGATCTCAACTCAGATCCTGGCTGTTGTAGGGTCACATAGACCCAGACAAGGCCCCCAGCAGCAGCCCTGGCCTGGATGATACCATAACCCCAGATGATGGCACAGGCCACTCAGATCAGCATGTCCCTGGAGGTAGCACAAGCCCTTGAACACCCTCTTGGTGACAGTTTGCAACCCAGACCCCTAGAGATCTGTGGTCTTTGGTGGCAATGTGGATCACAGACATCAGTACAGACCTTGGCTGGAGTAGAACCGCAGACTCAGGCATGGTCTTATGCAGCAGCCTGGGTCACCATGGTCTAAGACATGGTGCAGGCCACTCAGACTGGTATGGCCCTGCAGCTGTGTGGCCCTTGGATGCCAGGATGGCCCCAGGTGGCAGCCCAGACTAGGTCCCCGCACAGGCCCCGAGTGGTGACAGGAACCATAGCTATGAACACAGGCCTCCTCAGCTGCTCTAGGGTCCCAGACCAAGACCTGGCCCATGGCCCTAGGTAAGGCCTAGAAATCACCCCCGGACTTGAGTGTTCAGCAGGCCATTCATGTCAGCCCTTTCTGCACCACACTGACCCTTCTAGATCTGCCTCTCTCCCCAGCCAATGAACCGGTCCTCCTCCCTCTTCTACCTCCCCTCCCTGTACTCTCCTACCGCAACGATGCCCGACTGCCTGGCACCGGGGCTCTGGGTTGGGTCATAGGTAGTGCTTGGTTGAGTCAGTCCTGCTCAGCTACAAGGCATGGCACGGAGCTGTGGCTGTTCCTGTCTCACATGCCTGGGCCTAGAAACCTTGGGCAGCGTTTGGTATGATGGTGTCTAACTGCCCCTACATCCTCAACATTTGTTGCCAGATTTATGATAGCATTCTGACTGGAGTGAGATGGTGTCTCAAAGTAACTTTTCCATTTCTCTGACGACTAGGGATGTTGAAGTTTTAAAAACTAATTATTTGTTTCTTCTTTTATAAAGCATATGTTCAGCAGCCTGAATGCTGACTGGAAGTTTGAATTTCTTGGTATTTCATTCTTCCAGTCCTGGAATTCTGGACATTAGGCCACTGCCTTAAGTATAGTTGACACAGACTTTCTCTGTTCTGTGGGCTGTTCACTCTGCTTACAGTTCTTTTGCTCTGCAGAAACTGTTTTATTACATGTAGGCCCATCTGTTGATGCTTGGGGCTTGGTCCTGTGCTATTGAAATCCTGTTCATGAAGCACTTTCTGAGCTCCAGTGTCTGGAGGAGCATTCACCATGTTTCCCTCTAGAAGTTTCTGCATTTCCTGTCTTAAATTAAGGTTTCTGATGCAGTTTGGATTGATTTTTGTGGAAGTTGAAAGATATACTAGTTTGGGTATAGTATATACTTTATAAATGAGACCAAGAAAGCACAGAGTTAGGAGATGAGAAGGACAGAATCTACATGAGTCACAGTCCAACTCGGTCATAGTTGGTTGGCTTTGTTTTGACTGTGTGTGGTGGCTAAGCGCATACAAATATTGACAGTGAAAATGTATGCGGAGCCCTAGGTGAAGCTTCGTGGTTCAGAACAGCCATTCTAATGTACAGACGTCCAAGGGGGTATATAGGCTTTGTTACTGGACAAGTGTGAGCATGCTGTTGCTATCCTGAACTCCCCCATGCCTCCCTAGCTATGTTGCTCTGAAACTTCTAAAACCACAACCTAACAAAACCTTTCTATTGTGGGAAATCCTTCTGTATGTGTGTTGCTTTTATTGGTTAATGAATAAAGAAGCTGCTTTGGTCTGTGATAGGGCAGAATAGAGCTAGGCAGGGGTGGGGGGTGTAGGGAACTAAACTAAATGATGGGAAAAAGAAGGCGGAGTCAGTGAAAAGACGGGTAGCTGCCATGGCAGACAGATATGCTGGAATCTTGTGGGTAAGCCACAGCCATGTGGAGATATACAGATAAATGGAAATGGGTTAACCAAGCCGGGCTGTGGTGGCGCACACCTTTAATCCCAGCACTTGGGAGACAGTAGCAAGCAGATCTCTGTGAGTTCGAGGCCAGCCTGGTCTACAAGAGCTAGACCCAGGACAGGCTCCAAAGCTACAGAGAACCCCTGTCTCAAAAAAACAAAACAAAACAAAACAAAACAAAACAAAAAACCCCAAACAAACCAGAAATGGGTTAACCAAAGGTATGAGAGCTAGCTAACTAGCAATACGCTTAAGTGACTGGCCAAGCAGTGATTTAAATAATATAGTTTTCTGAGTGATTATTTTGTGGTCTGGGTAGCTAGGAATGAACAAGTAGTCTCCACCAATACCTTTCTTTGCTTCTTCCTGTCAGATTTTTGGTCACAGTGAGGAAAAAAGTAAATACAGTTTCCCTTTAGAATGCCCATTAGCAGTATCCACCATCAAGCTGGAATGCCAGCATTATGATCAGATAGAGCTTACTCTAGAGCAAAGAACAGGTCACTTAACACGGGCGGTGGGGGTGGAGGGGCAGTCCATAATAATAAAACTTTTGTAGGAGATGAAAACTCCAGCAACAACTGATAGACATAAGAGAAATATGGAAGGAGCCACATTATAGTCGTATTTCAGTACTTTTCAGCACTGGGCATTAAACCCAGGGCCTCACACGGAAGGCTGAACTCGACCTACAGCCTCAGCCCATCAATATGCCTTTCTAAAGGGTAACTAAAAGGATGAGCAAGGCAGGAAACTGTAGGGATGTTGAAGATCTGAGTAATAACATCACCTGACCAGACTTGATTGATGTTTGTAAGACGTGCTATCCAATCATTTTATATTTTATTTCCAATGCACAATGACCTCATCGATACTTGGACTCATGTGACAAGTTTGAATACATTTAAAATGACTAATTAGAAATTATTAATAGAAAGTATTCAGAAATATTTCTATAATTACAGACATTACTGTATTTGTAAAGCACCCAACAGGCCAAAGAAGAAATAACGTGGAAATTATATAGGATTTCAAAATAGGATGTGGAATTCAGCTAAATCAGTTTATAGTATAGTACTATATAGTATATATTTCATAATTAGTATTCATTATACATTATACAATGAGTAATCAGTATATAGTAAGATAGCATGCTATATAATAATCAGTATATTTTATAATAGTATATAGTAAGTTATTAAATGGCCATAAGTATCATGACGATGACCTCTGTGAGTTAAGAAAGAGAAAAATTAAAGTTTAAATAAAATTTTATTAACTAAAAGCATTGAAAATAATAAAGAAACAACCAGAAAAAACGAAAGTAATAATGACATCTACAAAGACAACAAATTATCATTCCTTAAACGGAATGGAAGCAGTCAGATATTGTCCAAGTGGGACAATAACGGGACCATCGTTAACAGATTTACATCAATAAATCCAGCAGTTTAGACAGTTTCACAAGATATTAGAGGTCACTCTGTGAGAAACAGCAGTGCCTGTTGGACAAGTGAGACAGGGTACTGGGTAGGTTTGGGGCATCATAGGCATTTTTTTTTTTTTTTGTCTCCAAGACCAACTAAAACTCAATACTGATCTTCCCAGTAAGGGCGAGGTGAGGCTGGTTTTCGACAGTGTAGAAGGCCCGCTACGGACAGAGCAGGCCGGCAGGAAATGGCCAACGGAAGAGCGGCCGAGGAGCACAGGCAGCGCACGGTCCCCGTCCGGTCCCTGCCCAGCGCCGCGCAGCCGACCGCCGAGCCATCCCAAGGCGGGCAAGCTCGCGCCTGCGCAGTTCAGCCAACGCGCTCCCCACAGGCGGCTGCCGGAAGTCTGACCTTTGGCTCCGGCTGCTTATTCCCATCCGGGGTCACGTCGATCTTCCGGGTATCTCTGACAGGGCTGTCTACGCCGCCTTTTCGGCGACTTTTTGGTCTTCCGCTTTTTTTTCCTTTCTTTTTGTTGTCGCCGCCCCCAACCTTCCACACCCGCGCGGGCCTGGCCGTGTCGGCAGTCGCCTCGCCGCCGCCCTGCCGGTTCCTGGGTCACCCGCCCGAGCTGGGCCTCGCCGTGCTGCGGGCTGCTCGGGCGGCCGCGTTGGCGGGCGGTGCCGCTGGGCCCTGCTCGGCCCTGCTCGGGCCTTCGGCGTGGACGCCGGTGAGTGGGGGTCTCCGGAGGGGATGCACGCGTGCAGGCCCTGCTCCCCGGCCGGGCGCGCGAAACTTTTCTGAAACTGGCGCTGTGTTTTGCGCGGGAGAGAGAGAGCCTGGCGCTGCCCTGCGGCTCCCGGACTAGGGGCGTTCCCCGGGTGCTGGTCTCGGTGAATAATGTTGGCGCCGCTGGCTTCTCTCTGATTCCGCCTTCTCTCTAGTTCTCTCGCCGCCTCCCGCGCTGTCCTCACTCCCTAGACCGAAAGAGTAAGACTGGCTAGATACTCCCATCTGGTATTCCAAAAGGCCGTGGCGAGCCAAGGTAAATGTCCACATTAATGTGCTATCGTGGAAGGCATTTATCTTTGAGGCATTTAATTAAAATAGCGTGAAGTCCCCTCGGTCAAAACACAGGTTGGGACGGGCTGATTGTTTCCCCGGTCAGATTTCGTGGCTAGGTGCTCCCTCCTTTTATCTGGTTAAGAGCACCAGAGTGGTGGTGGGGCTCCTGTGTTTCCCAGACTGGGATCTAAGTTCTCTGCCTTGGTTTGGCCTCTTTGAGCTTTGTTTAAGAGAAATCGATTGCGCGTAAAAGAAAAGAACAAGATACTTAAGTTTTCTTTCTTGTTTCGCTTCTTTCAGCTTTGTTTAAAAGTAAGATTGTTGATATAAGGAAGAGAAAGAAACGATGCAAGTACGGTTAGAAAATTAAGTACGTGGGTTTTTTGTGTGTCTCTTGTGTTTGAATACAGATGCACTACTATCATATCGTTCAGTCCTACCAGGCTTTGGTGTGCTAACCACGATAACATTTTTAATTTGCACTGACTAATAACTGGTATTAGAAACATTACTTAGTAGTGTGAATAGTCCCAATTGTATGGGATCTAGAAATGTCCCGTACTACATAGACTCCGTGTGAAACAGGCCAGTTTTCAGTTATTTGAGAAATGTCCATTTGGAGCCGTGTTGCTAGAGTTTCCTTTTAACTCTTGGATGGAATTTAATTCTTAATAAAGAAAGGAGTGCTCCGTTAAAACCCGAAGGTGGTTTTGACAGTGGGCGAGCAGGATTTAGGAGTTAGACTTTTTCTGTTGTGGAGAAAAGAACTGAACATTTTAGGGGATCAAAGATACTTAGTTAATGTGAACAGAGAACTTGATTTAACCATTCAGTTCTTGTTTGGATTAGGGAGGTGCTGCTTTCCAAGGAGTCTTGGTGAAGAGACCATTATGTAAACTTGAGTCTTCTATAACTTGTCGGAGAGATCAATTGGAGGACAATAATTAAGTTGCAAATTAAGAGACCAAATACTGTTATCATTAGAAATTCTTTCTGAACTATTTATCTTGTCTCAGTCTGCTCATTTGCATATAAATCTGTATTAATCTTGCACTAGTTTAAGCATATTAGAGAAAGCAGTCTTTAAGGGTCTTTTCTCAGGGCAAGAACCAGTATCATGGTTTTAAAAACAGTAATGATTTTACCTAGGTTATTCTGTTTCACTGTTTAGTACAGATTAAAAAGCCAGTAATTCAAGGTAAGAAAAGTTCGATGCTGGGGGCTGGAGAGATGGCTCAGTGGTTAAGAGCATTGCCTGCTCTTCCAAAGGTCCTGAGTTAAATTCCCAGCAACCACATGGTGGCTCACAACCATCTGTAATGAGATCTGGTGCCCTCTTCTGGCCTGCAGGCATACACACAGACAGAACATTGTATACATAATAAATAAATAAATATTAAAAAAAAAGAAAAAAGAAAAGTTCGATGCTATCCATTTCTGGATGTTAGTATAAAATTTATCATACTACCGCAGATAGCAAAGAATAATTTTTTACAGATTGTCTGTAATGAGGAAGCTTCATTAAGACTACAAAGAAACCGGGTCTTTAATCCCAGCACTCTCTATGAGTTCAAGGCCTGGTCTACAGCACTGTGAGTTCCAGGACAGCTAGGGCTATTACACAGAGAAACCCTGTCTCGAAAACAAAGCAAAGCAAACAAACAAAAACTATAAATTAGTTAAAATTTTATGAAGTTCTGGTATAGTGATTTTATTTCATTAAACTATATTTTTATAAAGATTCCTTATGCTTTGCTATTGAGTCTAGCGTAGCCTTGGCTATCCTGGAACTTGCTTTATGGACCAGGCAGGCCTTGAACTCACAGAGATCCTCCTGCCTCTGCCTTTCCAGTAGTGGCATCAAATGTGTGTGGCACTACATCTGGTTCCCTTGTATTTTTGCAATAGATTATTGTTTCAGTATCATTACAATCATGATACTGACTTCATTTCTCTAGATGGTCAGATAGGCTATTTGTGGGGGTGAACATCGAATACTATTTGTTAATTCTTAGGAATGGTTCTATTTTGAAGGTTGCCCAGTTAGGAGTTTGACTTAAGGGTCAAGGTTCTTGAGAGAGCCTGAGTAGTATTTTATTTTAGAAGTACTCCAGAAGAATGAATGCTTCTCAGAGTCAGACTGATCTCTGTGAATTCAAGGCCAGCCTGGTCTGCTTAGAGAGTTCCAGGCCAGCCAGCTTAGGACAGTGAACCCTTTCTCAATAGAATAGTATAATAGAAACTAATGCTCCATTTTTGCATTGGGATATGCTGAACTAGATATATACCCTAGAGTAAAATTTTAATTATTTTTAACAATTTTCTAGGCTTCTAAGCGTAGAATCATTTGGTTTTAATGTTATAGAGTAGTTCTGGGTACTGTATCATCTTTTAACTTCTACTTAGTTTGGAGTTGATTGTGTAATGGGATAGAAATAAAAGTGAGAGGTGTATCCTTAGCATTTTTGCATCTTTAAGTCTGAATGCAGACATATAGGGCCTTATTTGGGTCCAGAAGAAAAAGACAGTTTATTGTTTGTAGTTAAAAGATTGTCTAGATGTTGAACAGTGAACCTCTGTAAATGAACCTGAAATAGCATTTGTTGTTGTTTTTATTTTAGTTTTTCAGATGTGTCTATTATTTTATGTGTGTGTATCACACACATACTAGTATGTGCATGCCTAGTTCCCTGGAAGGAAAGAAGAAGGCATTGGGTTTCCCGGAAGTGGAGTTACAGATAGTTATGAGTCACCATGCAGGTGCTGAGAACCATACCTGGGTCTTCTGTAAGAGCAGGCAGTGCTCTTAACCTTTGAGCACTCCAGCTCCCATGTTTGCTTTTAGAGATGGATTTTTACTCCTATGGAACCCAGGCTGTGCTTAAACTTCAGACCCACCTGCCTGAGCCTCCTGGATTCTGAGATTTCAGACATGCACCACTACTCCTAGCTTTGAAATAGAATTTTGGTGTTGTGTTTTTTGAGACAATCTTATGTCCAGGTTGGCTTTGAACTTGATGTGTCTTCTCAACTAGTCTCAAATGCTGACCATCCTTCCAAGTGCTGGGATTTCAGGTGTGTGCCACTATGCATGACTTAAAATAGAACTTTTTAATTCTAGTTTTTCTAAGTAGAGATGGCTTCTTTTAGTTAGGTCTATAGTTTCTGTATTCCTGCAAAATGAAATGTCAAGCAAAATTTGTTATAGCTAATCACTTAATGACTTTTTTTTTTATAACTCCCATGAAAAAGGTTGTTTTAAAATGAGAAGTTAGTTCACGGAAGTGGAATTAAGGGAACCAAATCTTAACCATCATGTCCCTCAAAACAGTGAAATTCAGAGAGTACAGGTCAGCAGATATAAAAAAAATAACAAAACCAAGCAACCCCTACCCCCCAATAATAGGAAGTACAGACTTCATGGAAGAATTTCCTATAGACAATACTTTGTTTCTGGTAAAAATTAGAGTCAGGCATTTGGAATGAGGTATGATAATGGTGGTAAGTTGCCTGTCCACTACTTAAGATGAAACTTGGACTGATGAAACTGATTCATAGTGGTCAACCTAGGAAATTTTAATCCCATAGAATTGGAAAACCAAGGAACAAAATTTGTATGTGTGAGTTTTAGTTGCTTTTCAGGCTCCCTTCCATCCCCATTCTGTTGATTCTAACAGTTTTTCTAATCCTTTTAATGTCATTCTCTAATACATTTATCTGTTTAGGCTTTGTTTTTCTTCTGATAAAAAAATAAAGCTTTTGTAGTTCATTCTCTGATTTGCTTATCAGAAAAGAAAATTTAGCATTTTTTGTAACCTGAATAATCTTTGACATACATACTATATACACACCTAAAACTTGACATATCAGTATATAATTTCATAATATAAAATGTGTAAATATACTGTATAATATATAGTAAATGATATGTAACAAATACAACAACTAAATTGGTATATTTAATGGTTATATTATTATAAGAAACATATTGCCAGGCTGTGTGTGGTGGCTTGTGTCTTTCATCCTAGCATTAGGAAGCTTAGGCAAGCAGATCACTAAATTGGAAGCATCCTGGTCTACAGTCATGGCAACACGGAGAAACCTTTTCTCAAAAAAAAAAAAAAAACCCAACAACAACAACAACAAAAACCCCCAAAACTGCTGGGCAGTGGTGGCACACACCTTTAATCCTAGCACTTGGGAGGCAGATTCCTGTGAGCTCGAGGCCAGCCTGTTCTACAAGAGCTAGTTCCAGGGTAGGCCTGATAGCTACAGTGAGACCCTGTTTTGGAAAAAAAGAAAAAAAGAAAAGAAAAACACTCAGATGTGATATGGAAATGATGGGAGGAAGGGTAGATTATTGAATCTACTTTACTCCAAAATTTAATCTCAAAATATTTTACATCAATAAGAATTTTAGTTTATTGGTACAAATTTAAAGTTATTTCTGTTATGCTGTATGTGTGTTTCTACTTTTGTTTGGGATATTATATTTAAGCAACTCATTTAAAAATATAATGTATAGTTAAAAATACAGGTTAATAGTCATCTATAATTGTCAAACTTATAGTTATGTAAGGTATGTATTCAAGGGTAAGCATATATTTAGATAGATGGTCTTCAAATACTTCAAAGACCTACAGAATATGGCATTTAAAATGTTTTAATAATATAAGACTTTTTATGACAGTGAGACATTTCTGCTCCTGGCAGCACTAATCTACTTTAGAGAAGATGATGGGCATCAAAGAAACTCCATATGGAGTTTGTTTTCTTTATGGCCAAAGCTAGTCATGTGGGCAAAGAAACTGATGATGATTTTTTTATCCAAACTGAACCAGCAGGACACATACAAGACGACTGCTGAACTTTGCCAAGACAAGGTAGGACAGTCCATCAGAATTCCCTGCTTCACAGGAAAGTCTGTCAGATATCCTAGGTTTGTAGGCCAGAGTAGATGCCCCAGTATTGCAAAGGAACTTTGGGTGACTGTCCAGGCAGCCTGATGTTCCTGCCATTAGATAACATTTTATCCTTCTGGGGTCCTTGAAGGAGTTAAAGACTAAATAGTTAAACTTACAGTTTTTTTTTTTAAATTATGACAAAAAGCAAATTAGGTATAAAACTTTAGACTCACAAAGATAGGATAGATAATAGAGTATTTTCTCTGATTTTGCTAAATACAAATAGATTAGATATTATGTCTGTAATTCTTATTTAATAACTGTTTTGTTGTATATAATTTTACTATGTTAAAGCTAAAACCTTCCTTTTTAATTAGAAAAAAAGGGGGACATACTGTGGAAAAATCGTCTGTACTCTTTTGTAAATTATGCTCTGATTGGTCTAATAAAGAAGCTGATTGACCAATAGCCAGGCAGGATAAGGTTAAGCAGAAAAGCCAAAATGAGAAGGATAGGAAGAGAAAGGGCGGAATTGGAGGAGTTGCCAGCCAGATGCTGAATGAATTGGACACACAAAATGGGATAGAGGTAAAGGCCATGAGCCTTGGGACAGTACCTGGATTAATAGAAATGGATTAAATTATAAGAACTAATTAATAACAAGCCTGAGTTATTGGCTGAGCATTTATAATTAATAAAGCCTCTGTTTGGTAATATGGATGTTGGCTCCTGGGGCCAGAAAACTCCGCCTGCACTAATAATTCATTGAATACTCTATAAAGTTTCTTTTCTTTTTTTTTTTTTAAAAAAGTATCCTTCTGTGTAGTGACTTTTATTAGTACTAAAGTATTATTGTTTTCTATTTTCAAGAGGATTATATCATTTCCTTTTTTTGTTTTCTTCAAATCCTTTCATTTGCCTCTTCTTGCTTTCTTTTGAATTCACAGCCTTTTTTCAAATTGTTGCTTGCATATATGTAAACACAATATATACTTAATTATAACCTGTTCAGCTTGTATATATTACTTGTATGTATTATTTTAGGGCTGACCATTCGGTATTGGATAGCCAATTGGTGTGCTCTTTGCTGGGGAAGACTATTTCTCCCATGCTCAGCATGCCTTCCTTGACTGTAGTTCTTTGTGTATGAGTGTAGCCTCTTTCATTACTAGGAGACACAATCTCACAGCAAACTCCGTGATCCTCTAGCTCTTAGATCTTCCTAGCCCCTCTTCCCACAGTGTTCTCCATGCCTTAGGTGTGGAAATTGTGTTGTAGATCTAGCCTTTGGGACTGGGCTATGTGATTCTGCATTTTCATTGGTTGTGGTTTTCATAATGGTCTTTGTTTATTTTAAAGAGAATTTTCCTTAACGAGAGGTGAGAACTGCAGTAATCTGTGGGTATTAAGGACAAATATTTAGAATATGGTTAGGCATTATGTTAGTTTAGTAAAGTGATGCTTGTTGGGTCTCCTCCAAGATCCATAATTGACTAGTAGGTTTTCCAGTACCAGGCATGACCCTCTTGTTGAGTTGAATTAAAGAGCTCTTGGTTACTGCCAAGGCATGCATGCCACTACTTCACCCTTAGGGTTATCGTGCAATGTTAGTGTTGGTTGTGGTTCATAGGCATCATAGCTCAGTTGGACTGTTGGTTGCTTCTCTCCTTTGGAAGCTTTCATGGTATCTTCAGGTACCATGACAGCTAATCTTCAGGTCAGTTCCAGCTCAGGCCTCTGGACTCTGTGTATTAAGTGCATGGTGTCTTCAGGAATAGGGACTTAACTTTCCACCTCTGTGGGGGAAACCAAGGGCAGTAGCAATAGCCTGTAATGCTATATATATTGAATGTTTGTTTGATATAGTTTCTGCTTATTTCCTATTTCTTTTTCCTCCCTCTTTGGTGATCTGTGGATGCATTATTTTGAATATGAGGTACTAGAAATCTAAATGAAAGCTTCTTATATGTGAGTGGTACCTGGTGGCTGTTAGCATTTCTTGTAGGTAGGCTGAGCACGTAATTCTGTTGACTTTTTTGGTGGTAGACCCTTAACTTTTACTGTGTTTTATTGTTTTTTTCTTATATTGTATACTGTCTCTCAGTTGAGAATTTTAAGAAAATGGTCAGGCAAGTATCATTTTTAATTTGTTTTCTTTTTTTTTTTTTTTTTTTTTTTTTCAATTTTCGAGGCAGGGTTTCTCGGTAGCTTTGGAGCCTGTCCTGGAACTAGCTCTGTAGATCAGGCTGGCCACGAACTCACAGAGATCCGAGTGCTGGGATTAAAGGTGTGCACCACCACCTCCCGGCTCTTGATTTTGGTATGCTATCTCACCCATCTTTTTGAAGATCTTTGCTGGATTAGTCATTGGAAAAAAGCATCTAGTGTCTTACTAGGTTAGTGATGTGTTCTGATTGTCCTCTATAGTTTTCCTCCCTCTGTGGAACTGTTTGATTGCAAGTCTTTTATATATAACTGCTGAGAAGAATCTTGGAATTTTATGAGTTAGTAGGTGACACATATTCCTTGTTTCTTCAGATAATGTAAAGTACCATATCCTACATATCAGGTTATCACACGATAGCATGTACTTTTTATGAGTTAGGTTGTGAATAAATGTAAGGATCTGTGCAATTTAATTAAATCTCTTAAATGATTTCTTTTGTTGTTTTGAATAGTGGTGGTAAAAGTTATGTTGCTGTTAAGGTAAATTGATTAGAGCATATTCATCAGAAAATTTGAAACATGCACACTATTGAAAGCCTTTGAATGTGGTTTAGATTTTAAATGAGCTATTAGTGATTTGTTGCCCATAGTAGAATTTAAGATGCATTAACTTTCAGAAATAACTTTGCAAATGAAATGACTAATTTGAAGATAATTGTTTTAAGTAGTGATAATACTAACCAAAGAGTTCTGTGTCTTTAAGCTATAATAATTTAGTATTATCCTTTAAAATTATAGGTAGAAGAATACATGTTCACCCTCAGTGAGCAAGAGCATGTTCCCAAACTCAATTTTGGGTCGTCCTCCCTTCACTCCAAACCACCAACAGCATAATAGCTTCTATGCTCTCTCACCAACTCTTTATTCACACCAGCAACTTATTGATGCACAGTACAACTTCCAAAATGTAGAGTAAGTATGCTGTTGTTTTGGACCATGTCATGATGCTCTGTTTTTTCTTTGGTATAATGTTGTTGTATGCAATATTTGAAAGCAAAGAAAATATTATTAAACTTTGTTTTCTTTTTTCTGTTTGTGTGGAATTTTTGGTTCTAAAGAAAAATATTTATGTTATTATTCTGTTTTTGGTAGCTTGTCTAGAGCTGTGACCTTACAGCCCCTGACATATGGAACTGTCAGTCCAATACAGACCTCCACATCCCCATTGTTTCGAGGAAGGAAGTAAGTATTTTTCAACTGTTTTTTTAAAAAATATAGTCGACTGTGTAGCAGCTGTATGAAATTATATGGAGAATATGGCCTAGGTTTTGTTTTCTGATACCTATGCAGTTAGATTAGTCAAAGAATTTTAAAACTTCTTTGGGTTCAAACATTTTAATAAATCTGGAGTTGTTTTATTCTTGCCACTGTGTGTTTTAGATGGAATAAAGCTATATTTCTTTAGAAATCTGTGTTTTAATTGACAATTTTAACCTTATCAGATGCCTTCTTAGGAATTTACTAGGGTTGCCATAGCAAAGTGCTGTAAACTGACAATTGATGCTATAAGGAGACTAAAAATCGAGATCATACTTAGCATGGCTCTGTTCCTTTGCAGCTTCCTTAGCATGTAGATTCCTGTTCTTGTACTGTGTATTCTTTTCTATGTGGTGATTTGATCTCTGCAGGACACATTATAACAGATTAGGGTCCATCCTCCAGGAGCCCAGTTACTCTTAACTGTCTTTTGAAAAGTTTTATCTTGTAAGACACTTTTTGATAGTTTTTTTTTTTCTGAGCCATGTTTTCATATATATATATATATCCCCTTGGCTGTTCTGGAACTAGCTCAGTAGACGTGACTGGCCCCGGACTCAGAGAGATCCACTTGCCTTTACCTTCCACTAAGTGCTGGAATTAAAGGCGTGCCCTACCACACCTGGCTGATATAAGGCTTTTTTTTTTTTTTTTTTTTGGTTTTTCGAGACAAGGCTTTCTATAGCCATTTCAGATACCAGTCAATTTTAAAATAAATAATAGAATTTCAGAGGTATTTGTTAAAATAACATTTCATAATATTTGTACAGTATACCTTTTAAAACCTATTTGATCATTTTATAGTTTCTGTGTTTAGTTAAAAATAATAGTAATTTAAAATGTAGTAGTGTTCTAAAAACTTTAAAATAGTGTCATTAAGTCTCATTGTTATCTTCTGCTTATACAAAAGCTGTAAGATACAGAAGTTATAGTTATTCAAGCAGAGATGGTATAGCTGCTTCTAGAACCAAGGCTATGATAAACATAAGTTTTTCTGGATTATCATTGGGAAAGTTATATATGATTCTAAGAATATTGACTTTGTTAGTTTTATAATTTTGATATTGCCTTAGTAACCAATTGGTAACTCATGAGTGAAGATTAGTTTAATTAGTTCATAGTAACAGATATTGTTAAAAATTAAGATTTGTATTTTTAATTGAAGCTACTCAGTGTATATGTTTAAACTCAAGTTTAAAAAAAGCAAATGTACTTTTACGTGTCTAGCCCTATATATGTTTATTTATGAGTAGGAGTTCCAGATCTATAAAGAGTTAGAATACTCTTGGAGGAATAGTTTAATAATAAACTTTTAGATGGCATTGGCCCATAGGATTTTAGAGCTTGAAAGATATTTGACCATTTTCTGTGACAAAATATTTCATGTGAACAGCTTAGGTTATCAATGAAATAAATATCATTTTCCCTGTCAAATTACTCATTTTTACTCTTCCTGGTACTGGGGTCTGAGCCCAGGGCTTCACAGGTACTTGGCAGGTTCTTTGTGCTTACCTAATTATTTTCTTGTTATTTTGGAAATTTTCAAACTTTCTGAAAAATGTAAAAGTATATTTTCCCTTGATTTATTAGTTGTAAAGTTTAACTGTGTTTCTTTTTTTCTCTTTTCTCATTCTCACACTTTTTCTCCAAATTATAGTAAAGGAACTGTTGACATTATTAACTTTATCTGAAAATACTTCAGCCTTTTCCTTATCAAAGTAAAAACATTCCCCTATGTAACCAGAATGCTTTACTTATGCCCATATATCTGTGTTAATGTATATTATCTGAAATGCAGCTTGTTTTCAAGTGTTTCCTGTTGTCTAATACCCTTTATAGCTTTTATAAAAATGTCAATTTATTTAGTTTTTCCCATTGATGAGGTAGAACATAGGTATATTCAAAGAACCTTTAAAAAATGTCACACACACATCACTCAGTTTATTTACCCTCTTGTTAGAATTTATCTTTAATTCTTAGTGCTTGTGTAATCCCACAACTATGCATTTTTCTGTATTGTTTTCACTGTGGGGGATAACTCATTTTGGTAAATCAAAAGCCATTAATTATCTTTGTTTTTGGAAGACATTGGAAGGCATCTCTTGTTCTTAAGATGAATATTAAAAGTCCACTAGGGAGTTAGTAATGTAATTCTATCCAAAGAGCCGCAGTGCTGTTATTATCTGTTTCTATATTTGTATGCTTCTGTTGTCAGAAAGTTGTGTCTCTAGTCACTAAGGTGTATTTGCTTGCTTTCAGGAGAATAAGCGATGAAAAAGCCTTTCCTCTTGATGGTAAACGACAGCGTTTCCATTCACCCCACCAAGAGCCAACTATAATTAACCAGATAGTGCCTTTATCAGGTGACCGAAGATACTCCATGCCGCCATTGTTTCACACACACTATGTACCAGATATAGTAAGATGTGTTCCACCTCTTCGAGAAATTCCACTGTTAGAACCTAGAGAAATCACACTGCCTGAGGCCAAAGATAAGGTAATTATAATGCAGATGTTCATGTAGCCTTTTGGAAATTTCACATAAAAAATGTATTAAAAGGATCAGGAAAACCTAATTTTCTACCATTTAGAATATGTGCTTTTTTTGAATGTTTAAAGTTTTATTTACTTTCTAAATTTCACTTTGATTTTTTTTTCCTAGCATAAGTACATTTGTCAGGATCAGATTTTTTCTGATTTACAGATTTGAGATAAGAGCCTAAAAGATTTCATTTCTTAGTTGTTGGAGAATTCTCCTACAACTGGTTCTTTCTCAAATTAATTATTAATGGTGGTAGTGGTTGGTTTTTGAGGCAGTCTCTTCATATAGCTCTGGCTATCCTGGATCTCACTCTATAGACAAGGATGGCCCAGAACTCAGAGATCTGGCTGCAAGTGCTCAGATTAAAAGTGTGTACCACCATGCCCAGTGAAACTTCTTTTTACTCTAAAAGACATGAATATTCATATGGTAATTGTAATAAAATGTTAAAAAGTATTGTCTTTTGGACTTTCTCTGAGAAGATATACATTAAATGGTGTGATCATGAAAGACTTACAAGGGGCTGAAGAGATGGCTTAGAGTTTAAGAGCACTGACAGCTCTTCAGATGTCCTGAGTTCAGTTCCCAGCAACAACATGGTGGCTCACAACCATCTGTAATGAGATCTGGTGCCCTCTTTAGACATGCAAGTATACATGCAGGCAGAATATTGTATACACAGTAGATAAAAATAAATTAATAAAGATTTATCAAAAAATCAGTAACAATTATTTTGATTAAATGAAAGTACTTGCTCCTCCTTGGACAATGATGTTAGTGTTGGGAACAAAGAGTTCTTTACTGTCTAATAGAAGAATGTTGCTGTCCTCTGTAGGTGATTGGGAAGGGTGTATAATGTCTACCATCCTTTTGTTTGTAGAGTGATACTGTAAACTCTCCCCTCCTTTCCCTCCTCTCTATTCCCTCCTTTTCTTTCTTCACAGAGTCTTGCTTTGTAGTTCAAGCTGGCCTTAGATTGAAACTCACCCTTTTCAAATGTACAAATCAGTAGATTTTACTAAGTTCACAAAGTTGTGCAGTTATCTCTTTCCAAAACATAACACTTCCAAGAAAGTTTGTACCTCAACAGTGTTCATTTTCCTTCCCACTTTCTGTAAGTAGAATTCTTTGATCTATGGCCATTTGTGCCCAGTTTCTTTCATTTAGCATAATGAAAGGGTTTATCCATGTTTGTTTTTATTTTCAAGACTACTTGCCATGTCGTTTAGACGAGCCTTGAACACATTATGTTTCTACCTCAGCTCACTGAGTGTTGAAACTGCATTTCTTTTCAGTAGGATGATATTTTGTTGTGTAGATATATACCATATCAGTCTAATGGACTTTTAGGTTTCTGCTTCTAGCTTTTATGAATAATGGTGCTGTAATGTCTTGTGTACAAAATTTTGCATGGATATTTGTTTTCACTCTGTTGATACATACACAGGAGTGAAATTGTTGGGTAATATGGTAAAATATGTTTGACCTTTTAGGAGCATTTTAATTTTAATTTCCCATTGGTTTTGTCTAGCATTTCCTGAACATTGCCAAGATGTTCTGGAAAGTAGATTTTATATGTAGACAGATGTTCCACTTTCTTTACATCCCTGTCAACACTTGTGACATTTATTTGTGATTCTCTCTCTTTTTAATTCCTTGCAGTACTAGAGATGGAACCCAGGGCTTTCAACATGCTAGGCAAACACTGAACTACTGTTGAGGTTTATTCTTATCTTGCCTCTTTTTATTAGAGCTGTTCTGGTATGAAATTGGTTTCAGTTTCCATTCCCTAATGTCATTTGCTTATTGGACATTTCCTTGGAGAGATGTCATTCATATTCAGAATTTAGTAGGTAGATTTCTTGTTGATGACCTCTAAAGCTGAAAACCTTTTCATTTCTATGTATTCAGTTTATTAGTTTCTTTACTTATTTATAGTTTATTTATTCAGCTTCTTTGGTTGCTTTGCTGTTATTGTTGAATCTCAGAAACCACCACTCAATGCAATGTCTTGAGTATTGATGCCTGTCTGTTATAAGATTTGTTAATTTATTTTGAGACAGGGCCTCATTATGTAACTCTGGCTAGCCTGAAACTTGATATGTAGACCAAGCTGTCCTTGAACTCACATATATCTCCTGAGTGCTAGAGTATATTCTAAGAATTTTTACTTTTAAGTTCTTTAGGACTTGGATCCATTGAAGTAGGCTTCAGCTATATTCTACTTGTTGATTCATTTGTCACGCGATTATTCATTAAAAAAAACTTTATCCCTTTTGTGCCAACATTTTCCTTATTATGAAGTAAGAACAATTAGACAAAACCAGTGGGAAAGAGGAGAAAGCAAAGCAAAATGAAAAAAACAATATGGGATGTTCTGGTGCTCTTTCTTCCTCATTTCTCTGTTCCTTCTTTGCTTTCTAAATTTAACTCCTATGTCATAAAGTGAAAACCTATGGTATAAGGCCAATGAGGTGAATTCTCTGAATGGATATATAAATAGTTACTAAATATCAGAAATACATTTTTATATATATTTATGTTTGTAGTTAACTAGTAGAACTAACCAAAGAGCTCACTTTTATATATAGCTTAGGTATATGTTGAATCTATAAATTTAATAATGTATAATTGATATTAGTAATAAACATCTTGTAAGATGTGATTCCATATCTTTCTTTGCTTAATCATATAGAAAAATTTCTCCTAAATCCTGTCTTTGAAATTATGGCATTTCCCCTAGAAAAGTAGAGATAGATTTTATAATTGAATCAATTTCTCTGAGTGATACTAAAGAAAAGTGTTTCTGTTTATTCTTTAAATGAATACTTTATTTCTGGAGGCAGGATCTCACTGTATAGCTCAGGCTGACTTTGAACTCATGATCTTGGTTATACTTTTTGAAAAGTCAGATTACAGGTGTGTGCCACCATACCTGCCTTAAGTGCTCTATTTTTAAGCACTTCTCTGTCCTCTTCTCTGTTCATTGATATCTTTGCTCTTTAGACATTCCATTTGTGTTATATTATTTGTTCATTGATATATTTGCTCTTTAGATATTCTATTCATGTTATATTATTTATTCTTTCAATAACCTTGTAGCATATAGTTATTGTCTCAAATTTTATGTTGTTTAGAAAGTTAAATGGTTTGCTCAAAGTCATATCTAGTAAGTGCTAAAGCCAAGATCTGACAATTGTGTCTAAAAATACAAAGAGGAGAAATTTAATGTCTAGGATAGAGAGACCACATTATGAGACATGGTTGTAACATCACATGACCTGTGATAGTAATAACTAACAATTTTAACTGAGTGTCTGTTGCTGCCAGTAATGTGATAAGCAATTATGTTATCCCCTGTAGAGTGTATAGTGAATACAGTATCTGATGTGAGATAAATAGGCAGTGATTTGGGCCCTTGAAGGCATAGTCCAATGGCATTGAAATTTTTTGAATAGATGAAATAACATAATTACTTGTATTTTGGGAGAACAGAGTTGTTTGGTTTGGAATGAGGTGGCCTTGGGGGTGGAGAGTCATCTCATAGGTTATTAATGTTTCTGGATAAGAGGTACTGCTGCATTAAGTTGTGACAGATGGTAGTGGACGTGATGTGTGAGACAGTGTCCAAGGAAGGTGGATAGGGTTTTGCTTTGTGTTAAGCTTGGCTACATATTCACAGTCCTCCATTCTCTACTTCCCAAGTGCTGGGATTACATATGTGCACCATTTTGACCCATATGTAACTGTAATGGGTTTCGCGTAAGCATTGTTAGAATTTCCTTATTTTTGTGATGCAACAGACACTGAGTACTTATTGTAATGTCTGGGATTATGTTGTTCGACTTCAGTTAACCAACTGTTGTGAGTCTTTCTCTGTCCTGCCAATCAGCTCCTAAATCACAACACAGAGACTTATTATTAATTATGATTGTTCATCAGTAGCTTAGGCTTCTTTCTAACTAGCTCTTATAGCTTAAATTAACCTGTATATTAATCAACATCCTGACACATGACTTTTACCTTTATCCCATTTTGTGTATCTGACTTGTTCTGTGGCTATCTTGCCTCTCTGTCCTTCTTCTTCCCAGCATTCTTTGTACCTGAAAATCCAGCCTGACTATTGGCCATTTAGCTTTTTATTAAACCAATTACAGTGACATATCTTCCTATGGTGTGAAAGACTATTCCACAACAACAAGCATTTTCTTTAAATGACCAGATAGCAAATATTCTAGGTGTTCAAGCTATTTGAGTTATTAGCTCTTTTTTCCCTCCCCACTTAATAAAATGTGAAAATAATTTAACTTGTTCATACATAACAGACTAGAAGCTGTATTTGGCCTATGGACCCTAGTTTGCCAATCCTTCTGTCTGGGTAAATAAAATCTAACCCTTATATGACATTTAATTTTTATATTAACCATTTTTACATAATTTATTACAAATTTGGGTACCTATATCTTGATATGACAAATAGCAAACATGTACATAAAATGTCAATAATAGTGTTATTAAACCTCTCAGCTTTAACTTAACCATTCCAACATTATGTGACTACAATGTACCAACATAGGAGCAATCTTAATTTAGTTCATATTTTCCTTTTTAATTAGGGTCAGCTTCCAGTTTTTAAGTATTTCTCATGAATATATGCACATTTCTGTGTTTTGTTTTTTGGCATTGCAACTGTATCTCTGTTAATGTAGCTTCTTTTTCTCCTCTTTCATCTTCTGACTATTCTTGATCTTTCACTTTTCCATGTAAAACACATTTTCTTAATTTTTTGAATGAAGGCTTCTGTTTTGTTTTGATTATTTTGACTCTGTGTACCTGTTTCAGGAGAATTGATTTGTTTACAGTTTCTCATCTGTTAACATGGTATAGCTATTTATTTTTGTTTGGAGATAGGATCTTGTATAGGATCTTGTTCTGTTGACCATGCTGACCTCAAACTAACTCACACCAGTCAGTCCTCTACCTCCCAAATGCTGGGATTACAGGCATAAACATCCCAGGCTTACCTCTTCTCTTTTTTTTTTTTTTGGTTTTTCGAGACAGGGTTTCTCTGTTGCTTTGGTGCCGGTGCCGGAACTAGCTCTTGTAGACTAGGCTGGCCTCGAACTCAGAGTGCTGGGATTAAAGGCGTGTGCCACCACCGCCCGGCACCTCTTCACATTTTTGATGTCTCTTGCATCAGTATTATGGTGGATTTCAGCCTGTAAATTCTGCAGAGCTTTTGGAAAATATACTTGTTAATAATTTCATGCAGTTTGCTTCTGTCATAAGGTTTTTCAGTATAAATTTTTCTTGTTAGTATATGTGATTTAAATTGTTCTTTATCTTCTTAGCAAGTTAAAGTGAGAAAAGGCCTTTAAAATATGTAAAATGCTCTTATGTCTCCAGGGAAATGTTTTTCACTTTGGCAGTGTTTATTCATTCTTATAAAAACTTTATGGAAATTATTTCACATCTTTTTCAGGTATTATTCCTAAGCCTTTTTTGTTTTGTTTTTATTGTTTTCATTTTGAAATTTATTCTTTTTGGGATTTTAGTCCCCTACCCCAATGTTATTTATGTTTGAGTGAGATAGATACTTTTTCTGTGCTCCTTTTAGATGGGGAAGGCTAGGCAGGCTAGCCTCATGTTTATGAGCCTTTTCTGTTTTCCTTCTGTTGTCTAGACTAGGAATTTTTGCTTTTACATTATTGATGCTATTAGAGCAAATATTTCCAGGGCCAGGCCCGTGTCCTGTAAGATGATTAGTTGTGTCACTGGTCTTCCATGCTCTACTCCTTGCTATGGTAACTAAAATAGTTTCCACACATTACTATCTCTCTGTAGTTAGAATCTTTCCCGACCTTTCCTTTACCTCTGACAGCCCTGCCTTGTTTAGATTCCAGGACCTGACAGTATTTTTGTTAGTGTTTTTGTTTGTTTCTTTATAAGGGAGTTTTCATTTAAGTTTGAGGTTCCTGAACTTTTAATGGTCTTGGTTTGCTTATAAATTATAGCTTGTGAAGGTTTCTCCTAGAATTGTATATTTTCTACATTGAGGGAACCCTCAGTTTTGAGGCATAGAAGCAAAAGGTAGTAGCTAGAGACCATCTGATTTCTGGGAATTTGATTGTAGGGCTATTCTAATGCTCTTTCCCTTCTTACTGCTTTACTGCTTTGATACTGTGCCATTCTGGTGTTTGACCTTCACTGGTCATGTTTGGGGTTCATGAAGAACACCTACCTAGTCAGTTAGGTGTGTTTGTTGCCAGTGTTTGGTTTTAGTTTAGTTTCATCTGTTTTATTCTCCTACTTGTTGTTTCTTTTATTGTGGGGCAGGTATTTACAGAATTTTTTTAAAAATTATGTCTGTTTCATAGTCTAGTTGTCAACAACTCTTGAACCTTCTTAAATATTCTGAATATAATTTAAAAAATAACATCTTGCCAGGCGGTGGTGGCACACGCCTTTAATCCCAGCACTCGGGAGGCAGAGGCAGGCGGATCTCTGTGAGTTTGAGGCCAGCCTGGTCTACAGAGCTAGTTTCCAGGACAGGCTCCAAAGCTACAGAGAAACCCTGTCTCAAAAATCAAAACAGAACAAAAACAAACAAAAAAACATCTTAAATGATGAATGAGACTTTTTGTCTGGTCATACGTAGACTGTGAGAGGCTTAAGAGAGGCTGAAAACACAAAAGAGATTGAAGAATTGTTGAAGGTGTTTCTGCTCCTGAGGTGAACAACAGGCTTAGATATTAAAAAAAAAAAAAAAAAAAACCACTGGTAGAGGGCCATGGCAACAGGATACTTTGTCTTAACAGAAGGAAAGAGGTGAGATTTCCTTCAGAGCTATTAATTTATGTGCTTTAGCAAGATGAGGACTTATATTTGGTATTTTTAATTTTCTTAGTTTCTCCCCCCTTTTTTTTTCTTTTGAGACAGGATCTCATGTAGCCTAGGCTGTCCTGGAATTTTCTATGAAGCCAAGGATGGCCTTGAACTCCTGATCCTCCTACCTCCATCCTCTTGAGTGCTGGGATTTGCAGATGTGCACCACTACGCTTGGCTTTTCTTAGAAAAATATTAATATGAGCTATCTGCAAGAGAAAGTAAGTTTAGGCAGTAAACATTTTGGAATGAAATAGTGAAAAATGGGAACAGTATCTAAGCAGAGACAGGAGAGTAAAGGCTGAGTGATGCTAAGGACACTAAACTAGGCTAACCTTTATACCAAACCTTTGAAAGACTTCCCTAAAAGTTTTCAGTTTTGTCTTTTAGTACCTTAGGTTTACTTTTAGTGTTTTCTTTGCCTTCAGATGAGGATTTTGCAGCATAAACATTAGAGCCTGAGGGATAAAGTTTCAAAGGCATGATGAAAGAGATGGTTTGGGAGACGTATTCTGGGATAGTGGCTGCATAGGATAGGGCATTAGGATCATTTGGGTGCTGATGGAATGGAAGAAAAAGCATTTCAAGGGACTCCTGACTAAGTCTAGAGCAGATCCATTAGAGGTGGGGGTGATAAGAGACTGTGTCGAACAGGAAATTGAAGCTGAAGTAGTATAATGGGATTTAAAATATCAGGACTAGAACACATAGCTATGAGAGTACACAAGTGAGAAATACTATAGTGAAAGAATTTCAGAAGTAGAGTATATTATGATAAGTATAGCTCACTACAGATAAGGGCATCCTTTATCATCTTACCATCCTGTGCTAATGGCAAGAGTTGGGGTGAAAGGGAAATGTTAACATAACTATTTAAATAAGGGAGATTGGCAGATGGTAACTTCATTGGAAGAAGTCAGGGTTCAGAGAAAGTTATAAAAACTAGAATAGAGGGTAGTTTGTTTGAATGTGGAAGATGGGAATGTTCTAAAACCTGCTCTTTATGACATTCATCAGTAAGACCACTAGAAGGAGAAAAAACTTCTTGAGAGAAACCTATAGTAAATATTTTAGAATATGTAATGTACATATGGTTTCTATTGACTACTCTTATTTACTTTGCATATTCTTCCTTGTGATTATGACTCTTAAAAGTATAAAAATTATTCATGATCCTCATAAAAACAGACAGTGCCGAAAAGGTGTTAGTTTGCTGAGCTACAATTATACTCATGAATTATCTGACTACTTTACTGTCAATTAAATAATATTTTATTTTTTAAATTTATGTATAGTTCAGGCCATTCTTTGTATGTGAGTAACAATAGCTTTGAATCAGAAAGTGTTAAGAAGAGAGTATGTATTTTTTAATGTTGTCATTGATTTATACTGCTTAGTAGAGTAGTTATAAATTTCTGACTAAATATTTTGTTTTTTTTTTTTGTTTTCTTTTGTGGTGTATTCAAGCTGAGTCAGCAGATATTAGAGTTGTTTGAAACTTGTCAGCAGCAAACAAGTGACTTGAAGAAGAAAGAACTCTGTAGAGCACAGCTGCAGAGAGAGATCCAGCTGCTCTTCCCACGTACGTCTGCCTACTTTGCATGCCTTTCTTGTCTATGCTTCTGTTTACAAGCTGCAGACTTTCTTACTGTTTTCTTCTGCATCTCTAGAAAGCAGACTTTTTTTGGTTGGATCGTCTTTAAATGGATTCGGTGCCCGGAGCAGTGACGGTGATTTATGCTTAGTTGTTAAAGAAGAACCAGTAAGTGTTGAGACATTATTCCAAACCTGTTTCTCAAGTTAAATCAGATAAGGAATGAAACTTAAGTTATTTTAATTAATTATTTGAAATGTCTGTTTACTCTAGCTCCAGAAGGACTTCTTCTCCTGCCCCATACACGTAAGGCACCAGCATGGTGTGCATAAGAGCTGCTGTAGTAGTTCTGAGCTGTTGAAGTCAGCTAGCTCTGAAGTGTGTGGTTTTTAAAGTGTAGCCTCTTATTGTGAAATGTCACTGGGCGGGTCAGGTGTTTACAGGATGCGATAAAGCAAAACATATGGCAGTATTCTTGATGTTTTTCTCCCCATTTGAGTTCTCAGTCCCTTTTTTATATATGTTTTCCCTTTGAAAATGCTGTAGGCTTTGAATTTTTTTTATAAAAAAAACTAAAAATTTATAAATTTTTAAAATTTATAAAAATTTAATGTAAGACTATTGTGATTTATTATATTTAACAACTTTTCTAAGATATTTTGTTTCTGGTTTATTTTTATTTAATAACTAAATTGTATTATTTATAATTATAGTTATTTGGATTTCTTGTTATCTGATCTTTTGACTATTTTAGTATTATCATAATAGATATTCAGTAAACTTACTTACTGCAGCCTCTTGTAGCTGTTGAGGAATGTGCTATTTTTCTGTGATTTGAGATACTATAAAGGGAAAGAAAGGGAAAAACCAAGCAAAGAACCTCTTTTACATGTCAGTATAATGGAAATTGTAAGCCGTGCAGCTAGACTACAAGACTACATTCAAGCATGTCTTACTAGCTCTATATGTTTAAGTCATATTGTCACAGCTTATATACAAATTGACTCTACATTGTATGTAATCCATAAGCCCTTCACATTATTGATAAGAAAGTAACAAGTTGCAAAGTTAAGATTTTGTTACATTTTTTTGGAAGAGTATTTTTGTTTTTTTTTAGACACCATTTATACAGAAGAGAAAAATGACATGGTTCTTTTCAGTTAAAAAAATTTGATTCTGAAATGTGAATCTGAAAGATAAGCATTGAGGGTTGACTTTCTGTAGTGTATAATTTGAAAAGTATTTTGAAAGAAAAATATGTTTTGTGTTTTGCTGTTATGTTATTTAAAAAAAATCAAACACTAAGCTAAGGAAAAATAATGAAAAAACACTTTAACTTTTCAGTGTTTTTTTCAGGTGAATCAGAAGACTGAAGCCCGCCATATACTCACCTTAGTCCATAAACACTTCTGTACTCGACTGTGTAAGTCTTAATGCCTTCTGACTTAACTAGTATTTAAATGTTGACCACTTCTTTTTTCTGGGAAAAGTTGCTTATTTTCTGATGAGACTAGATATATTGTGGATTGTTTTCTTCTAACTAAATTCTTTTAAACTTTCTCTTTTAAAGATGGGATCTTGCTATAAATTTAGATAGCCCAGGCCGACCTTGAACTTGTGATCCTCCTGCCTCAAGCTCTTGAGTTCTGGGGTGACAGGTGTGTACCATCATGCCCATCTTCTCTTAACTTTTGGCTACTTTTCACTTTTGGTTAAAAAGCATGATTTAGCAAATCGTTGTTGAACTTACTTGAAAACTATTCTATTGAATGCAATCTTGAGAAGGTGTCTAGGTTTCCCTCCTTCCTCTCAGAAGTTTATAGACCTTCAGGAAGATAGGCATGTATGAGCTGTAAGGCAACTACCTGAAGAGCCAGAAGTGTGATATAAAAAGTAAGGTTTACAGCACTGAAGGGAAAGGTCTCCTGGCAGTTGGAAGCCAAGGGATACCAACCATAAAGTCCACTGCACAACAAACCTCACAAAAAACACAGGACGCTAGATACCTTTGCTTGGGAGAGAAGCAGCAGAGATCTGAGTGGGGGGTTTTGGGAACAGAGCTTTCCAGCGTGACCTGGGGTTGGTGGGATATTTGTGGCCTGATCTTGGACTTTTTACTCTGTTTGGTAAGCCTTGGCTGCTGGGTCTCTAGGGGCTGGGTAATGACTCTTTAGAGTATCAATTGAAGAGCGAGATAGGGAGTATTCTGAATTGGTTGGGGAAATGGTAAAAGGTGGGCATGACTGAAAGGTAAGTGTAATGTCCTCTACTAATGCTACTGAAGAGAGAGCACTTGGAAAAGGGCTAGTGTTTGAGACTATTGTTAGAAGGTAGGAAAAGACAGTGAGTCATTGGTGACCCAAAGATTAACTTCTTTGATTCATGTGTAAGAAGTTCCACTGTGGCAAGAGTGTTTCGACAAGGTGCCCGTTCTTGAATAGTATGGTCTAGTTTTATTTGATAAGTGTTTAGTGGACACAAAGGAAGAACCCAGTTGGTGACTTGGGACCCAGAGAGCATATCTCTCCTTTTCTGTAACATAGGGAGAGAAGGGCAAGTTAATTCTAGAAGATGTACAGCTGGGGCCTAGAGGAGGGCCTGTTGAAGCTTACTAAAAGGCTTGGTAATGCACACAAGCAGGAGCTCATGTGAACAGGCCCAGGGCCACCTTATATAAAGGGTAGGAGAGAAAAAAGAAAGAAATTCAAGAGCATAAAAAGTCAGCTATCTCTAGGAAGTATCGATAAAATTTTGTTCTTGGTGATAGGGACTGAAAGCAACTGGATTAGAGGCTTCTTATCTAGGGTAATGACCTTGTGAGGTAGAGTAATAACTAATCCCAGATAAGTAACCTGCAGAGTGGACAGCTGGACCTTAGAGGATGGAGCCCTGTATTGCTGCCTGGACAGAAAGTTTAATACGGTAGAGGTGTCTGCCTGGCTAGTTTGCATGTGTGGACCACAAAGGAGAAGATCATCTATGTATTGGAAAGCTTGGATTTAGGAAGAGACAAAGAGAGTAACTCAGAGGCTAGAGCCTGACCAAATAAATGTGGGCTGTCCTGGAATCCCTAGGGTAGGATGGTCCACGTGAGTGGGTAAAAAGGTGAGTATCTAGGTCAGTCCAAGTAAAGGCAAAGATACTTTGTGACTAGGGATTGAGAGGTGTGGGAAAGAAGGCATCCTTGAGGTCTAAGACAGAGAAATGGGAGTTTCCTCAGGTCTGGTGGAGAGGAGAGTATAGGGGTTGTGTATACTACAGGGTGAAGGGGAACACTGCTGAATTGATAAGTCAGAGGTTCTGAACTAAGCAGGAGGTTCTGTTGGGTTTTGAAGGCACGAATTATGGGAGTACTAAAGGGAGGAGAAGTGGTGTGTGGAAGATTCTTTCTTAAGAGGTCAGAGATGAGAACCTCAAGTCCCATGAGACTTGGAGAGAGAGTGGGTATTGAGCTGGGTGATGTAATTGGTAGGGTTTTGCAATTGGATGACGAGGGGAATGATGTTTGGCTATACAGGGTTTGGGGGTGTCCAATATTCAGGGATCCACCTGGGAGGTTGGTAAAGGGAATGGTGTATTAGATTGTGTGGTTTAGAAGGAGGAGCGTAACAGCCTGTGAGCCTGGGGTCAAGTGGATTGAGAGGCTTCCACTTTGAGGTCCTTTCCCAGCAAGGAGATGATACAGGTTGGTACCACTAGGAAGGAGTAAGTAGGGGGATTCCACTAAAAATGCAACTAGGTGGTGGGGTTAGGTGAGGTTGGTAAGACTGTCTCCTAACCCTACCCAACAATAGGAGAATGAAAGGTGGCTCCCCACAACATCAGGGCTGAACAGGTGACCCTGGGGTTAAGAAGGAAGGAGATGGATCCCCTGATATTATGATAACTGCTGCAGGCTCCCTGTCAGAGATGACTATGGTTGGGCCAAGGGAGCCCAGACCCCCTTAGTCCATGACCAGACCTAGGAAGTCGACTGGAGAGCAGTTTGGCCTTGCTATCATCATGTGAAGAGGGACATGGGGGCAGTGACACTTTGGACACGGTTGAGGTTGTTTATGAAGGCTTGGGCAAATAAATCCAAGCCTCCTGACCCCCCGACCACATTTTAGGCATAGATCCTGAGGTCCTTGGGTTTTGGGAGGCAAGGGAGCCTGGTAAATTGCTATAACTGGCCAGAAGACCCAAGCTAGCATCAGTTATTTTTGTTTTCAGACTGCTTTCATCTCTTCCATGGTACATTTTGAAGGCCATCGCTAAGACTTCTGCCTGGAGAGTCAGGGGCTCCTTCCCTAGACGTTTAAGTTTGGCCCTAATGTCAGGGAAACTTTGGGAGAAGAAGTAGAACTTTAAGGCCAGGCTTATGGAGACAGGCCAGGAGGCAAGTTGTCTGGACTTCATCTGCATGTGCTCTAGCCTGATCCTAGACTCGCCTATGCTCCTCAGTGTTGGTGAGAATCATATAAACGTCATGGAAGGTGAGGTTGTAAGATTGGGTAATATATTGGAATTCTTTAATAAAGGTGGAAGAGTTAGGAATGCAGGACCCCAATCTCTTTTCTATTTAAGAGTTTGCTTAATGAAAAGTGGGCGTGTACCCTGACCAAGTGGTCTACCCAGGCAACTTCCTGCAAAGGAAGAACCATGGCCAGTTTAGTCCAGATAGAGGGGGGTGGGCAAAGTGGAGCAAGAAGTAGCAGGAGGACTAGAAACTGCTGGTGAACTAAAAGTAGGTGCCAGGGAATATCAATTCAGGTGGCCTGTCACTAAGGAGGGAGACAGGGGCCAAAGAGACTGGAGAGGGAGAGAGAAGTGACTGGGTTGAGGCCAAAAGGGGTTAGTGTGATTGAAAATAATGGAGGAATCATTTAGTTTGGGCTTCATTGCGGAGTTGTTTTTTCCTTAGTTGGCTTATGTGTGTGGTCACTTTTAAGCAAGATAGGAGTGAAGTTACCTAACAAAAATCCATCCTTTCCAACCCTACAAAGATGGCTGACAGCTACCCCCCTGTGGGGACAGCAGCTAAGATGAAGGCAAGCCACATGTTTCCTTTAAGATTACGTATCTATAGATTTTTTTTTTTTTACTACCAAGTTTTGAGTTAATCTTTTTGTTACAGATTTTGCAGATTTGTATGCTTGCAAATCTTGAGGTACAGAAAGTTTACACTAAATAGTCTTACAAACCTTGAGATAAGAGTTATACCTTAGTGAAAGCTTTAGAGAGTTAAACCAAAACCAAGAGTATGAGACGAGTAGGAGTAGTCCCCTTTGGGGATAGTCTGTCCCTTTGTTCTGTTTTGTTCTCCTTTCTCTGTCACGTAGTCAGGTAGCTTGCCTGATATTGGATAGAGAATTTAGAGGAAATTTTTGAACATCTTGCTTGGATCTAGAGGAGAGGAATGGCTTAATAGGTAAAGTGCTTACTGGATAAACACAAGGACCTGAGTTCAGATCTCTAGCACCCATGTGAAACATGCTGGGTGTGGTATCTTAGGTGTAGAACTCCAGCACTACAGGTCAAGGGTGGGGCAGAGATGGGGAGCCTGGCTCTGACCATCCATTCTGTCCAATTATTGAGCATCAGCTTCATTGAGGTTTTATCTCAAAAAAAAAAAAAAGTTGGAGAAGAGGGAAGATACTGGATTTTGACCTGGACTCCACACACGGACTCACATGCATGTGGACTTGCATGTATATTGGAGGAAAACTTGAAACTCTTTACCTTCCCTACCAAAAACCCTAACAAGAATGTTTTTCGCTTTTAAGAAGGAAAATCTGGTATTTTCCTTTTCTATAGTTAAAGATTTAGAATATTCATAAAGGTTTTCATATTTTTTTAAAAAAAACCTATTTCTCTTTTGTTTTTAGTTATGTGTCTGTGTGTGGGTATGTACACAGTGCAGATGCTGTAGAGACCAGAAGAGTGTGTTGGATCCTATTGAGCTGGAGTTGCAGACTGTTAGGAGCTGCCCTACGTGGGTGTGGGGGTCTGAACACAAGTCCTCTGAAAGAGCAAAATGTGCTTTAACCACTGAGATACCTTTCCAACTTTAATTCTAAAAGTTTCTAATTTTTTTCAGTTTACATGTATTATTTTCTACAGTACATTTTTATACCTTTGATGAAATAAAAAAATATGTATTTATGTTTATGTATTTTATCCTTTTTGAGATCATGCATAATTGAATGTACTCTTGCCTTACCAAGTTGCAAGCATTTGCATATTATGACATTTCTGTGGCTACTATTTCTGTGAGTCATACCAGAATTTAGTTATTCTTTACTTTTAGCTATTTTTTTCACTCAGGTGTCCCAATAAATGTCGTTATAGATTCTAATATATATTAAGATTCTATTTTCGAAAATAAAACACCTTCAATAGTATAGACCTGATCCTTAAAAGGTCTTGATATCTGTCTGTCCTTCTTTCTCTGTCTCTCTCTCATAGGTTCTCACTGTGAAGCCCTGGCTTCTTGGAACTCTTTGTGCCCTTACTCTTCACTTTCTTTCTCAAGACAGCATGCATGTTCTTAAGTTGGTTTTATTTTGTAAAATACTGCTTTTAAAACTGTGCTTTAGTATATTGTGGGCGGGAAAACATTGGTAGATATTCACATTATCTTTTCTCCTTCAGCTGGCTACATTGAGAGACCTCAGCTGATTCGTGCGAAAGTGCCAATTGTGAAGTTCAGGGATAAAGTCAGGTAAATAATTACCAGTCCCTCTGTTTTAGGGTGCTTTAGATTAACTTTGGATAGTCATCCTAATGTGGCTAATGTGGATTGCCAAGAAATTAAATAGGTTATAGCACAGCAGCTTATCTTCAGTGTTCTAGAAATAATTTTCATATACATATACATATATGTATGTATATATAAATTTATTTTTTTGAGACAATCTCATTAATCAGGCACATTGTGAATTTGTTATAACTGAGGACAGCTCTGCTCCCACTTCTTGAATGCTGGGATTATACTGTGTGCCACTATATGCATTGTCTTTTAGATTTTTTTTTTTTTGGTTTTTCAAGACAGGGTTTCTCTGTGGCTTTGGAGCCTGTCCTGGAACTAGCTCTGTAGACCAGGCTGGTCTCGAACTCACAGAGATCCGCCTGCCTCTGCCTCCAGAGTGCTGGGATTAAAGGCGTGCGCCTCAATCTGGGCAACATTCATGCCTAACTGATTTATCTACTCTGTTTGAATTTTGAGTATTTGGGACTGTCCAATATAAAAAAATATTTGGGTTTAAAAATGATTTTCCTGTAGCCCAGCATGTGGCACACACTTGTAAGTTGATTCTTTGAGTTTGAACCAGAGATTCATCTTGGTCTGTACCAGTGGTTCTCCACCTTCCTAATGCTATGACCCTGTAAATAATGCAGTTGCTCATGTTATGGTGACTCCCAACCGTAAAGTTTTTTTTTTGTTGTTGTTGTTACTTCATGACTTTAATTTTGCTACTGTTTTGAAACATAATGTAAATATCTGATATGCAGGTGGTTCTTAGGTGAACACAAAGGGGTCTTGACTTAAAGGTTGAGAACCACTGGTCTTTACAATGAGATACAGGCCAATCAGGTTGTATAGTGAGGACCTTGTTTAAAATGTAAAAGATTGCATGTCTTTGGGACAAATAATTCTTTCCCCAAAACCTGTCCTTTGATAAAATTCAGTGTGTATTTATATCAAAAGGGTTTGTTCTAACTTTAAGTATCATTAAACAAATTATATATCACTTAGAGAAAGATAGAAAGCATACAGGGAATAATAACAAAAAAAGCTGTAAAAACACTCAATTTCAAAATTTTAGATTTTTCTTCATATTCTCATAGCCAGGATTTTGATTTCCTAGAAATATTATATTAGAAGCTCTTACGTGATATTTGAGTATAAACTACAAATAAATGGTTCAACCAAGTGTTGTAATTGTGGCACTGGGAGTTGGAGGCCGCAGGATGATGAGTTCAAGTGCAGTGTGGGCACTAGTGAATGTCTGTCCCACAACAAACGAACAGGCAAGCAGAAATAAGGAAAGTTAAGTGTGGATTGGTATTTGATTTGTTGAAAAGATTTATAAACTGTTTTCTAAACACAGGATTGTGATAAAGCAGGTTTATTTTTCTAGCTATTTATAGTGAAATTATATGAATGTATATATTATATACAGAATTGAGCTTTCTTATTTATGGATTTTACAATTAAGAATTATTTTCTTTTTAAATTTTTCTTTTGTCTTTCTGTATTGTTAAGGTGTGGCAAAAATTTGGGGTTAGTTTAATACCTGTGCTCCAAAGTTAGATTGAATAAGATAACATTCTGGATTTTTGGTTTAGCTTTCTTATCCCTCAGACAGACTTCCTTCTTCATTGTCTAATTAGCACCTTTCACTATTTAGAATGCTCTTAGACGTAATTTTCTAGTAGTTCATAAGTGTGAGAAACCTGTGATACGTACTGTGGAGAAAACATGACAAATGGATATTCAATTCATATTTTTGGAAAATTTATTTATTTTTTTTTGCTAGTGCTGGAAAATGTTTGCATAGGGCATTAGGTGTGCAGACAAGTAAGTAATCTACCACCAACACAAAAGGGTTTTTTTCAGCCCCTTTCAAAAGATTCAATTCTGCGGTCTCTACCTATATGGTTGTGTTGAGTTTTGCAGAGGATATCTAAATTGGCTTTGGTGTTTCTTACCCAAGCATAAAGATTAAATATTGTCAGTATAAGTTTTCCAAAGCTAGCTGCTTATATCTTGGTAACACTAACACCACTATCTATAGTCTATAAATAGAAATGAGGGGATGTTTGTAATATTTTTTGGATCTCGAAAAAAAGAAAAACAAGGTAAACTTCAGATTTTGTAATAACATGTAGAAAGCGATTAATTAATGAACTTTTTTGAGATTTTTAATTTTTTTTGAGATAAGATCTCACCCATGGCTCAGACTGACCTCAGATTCTCAATTCTGCTTTGGCTTCCCAAGTGCTGGGTTAGAGGCATGCTTTATCATCGTAAGCCTGGGATCTTATTTTTGATAATGTTTTTGGAAGGGCATTTATTTAGTATATGTGTGACCACACATATGTACAGCACACTATGGTGTATGTGCAGAAGTCACTTCTTAGTTTTCTTCTTCCATCATTGGTTCTTGGGGATTGAACTTAGGTTATCAGTCTTGGCAGTAAGCACTTTTACTCCCTAAGTCATCTTTCCTTCCCTTTTGGTAGTCTTTCCATAGAAAACTGTAATATTTAAAGAAATTAGACCAAGCTGGGCGGTGGTGGCGCACGCCTTTAATCCCAGCACTCAGGAGGCAGAGGCAGGCGGATCTCTGTGAGTTCGAGGCCAGCCTAGTCTAGAAGAGCTAGTTCCAGGACAGGAACCAAAAAGCTACGGAGAAACTCTGTCTCAAAAAAATCAAAAAAAAAATTATTAGACCAATAGAATATGAGTATAAGTGGAACTAATTTATGTGAAGTAATTCTTGTTTGTAGATTCTAACAATAATTACCCTGTTTTCTGAGTTGCAAGTTGAATATCTTTGCTTCAAAAAAGCATCGTATTGGTGATGATTTGAATGTTGCATTACTTCCCAGATTATCAGCACCTGCATCTGACATAGAATTTCCAGCCAGTTTAGAGGGAATATTATATATAGAAGCAGTTTTTTTTTAAAACTTGCATTTTATTTAGCTTTTTATTTGTATTGTTGAAAGTAGGTAAACCTGTGGTTTGTAAGATATACCTTAGTGGGATGGTTTACACAGAATATTTTGCTCTTGTGATTTTTATTTATCTAGGAAACATTACATCATTTAAAACTTCATTTGGAGTAATTAGAAACATCAGTATATATGGATCTTTTAAAGAGTAATCTTAGTTTATATTTTTAATACACACCAAATAACTTTAAATGACATACTATGTATATATTTTTCCTTCTTTAGTGACTCATTTTAAAACCACAGTCTAAGCCGGGCGGGCGATGGTGGCACACGCCTTTAATCCCAGCACTGGGAGGCAGAGGCAGGCGTATCTCTGTGAGTTTGAGACCAGCCTGGTTCCAGTATAGGCTCTAAAGCCACAGAGAAACCCTGTCTCAAAAAACTAAAAAAAAAAAAAAAAAAAAAAAAAAACCAACAAAAAAAACCCAAACAAAACAAAAAAATAACCACTGTCTATGGCTTTTCAGTTCATGTTACAACAGTGGATTAATTGTAATTAGTTAATAGAAAGAGTAGATTTTTGTACTTGTGCTAAAATGTGTTTTCCTTTGTTCTTTTAAATAGTTGTGTGGAATTTGACTTAAATGTAAACAATACTGTTGGAATTAGAAACACATTCCTTCTCAGAACTTATGCCTACCGTAAGTTTTTGTTTGTTTCTAAATAACCTTCAGCTTTTGTTTTCCTTTTATGACTTTTGAACTATATTTACAGTAAATAGCAATACCCCATTGTGCTTAGTTATATGGTTTCGTATTTTTTGATAATATGTTGCTATAGTAAAATCATATGCTATGATAGTTGCAGATGAATCAAATATTCTTCACTGAATGATGATTTAAAAGTAACTAAGGGAAGCTTGTATCACACTGAGAGTGAGCTCTGCCTTTAGTATGGAGGGAAACAGTGTTTCTTATTGTCATAGAATTAGGAAATTATATAGATTTTCAAAGAAACTGGTATCATTTTTAAGTGTTAATTTTACTTGCAGTTGAAAATCGAGTTCGTCCGTTAGTGTTGGTGATTAAGAAGTGGGCAAGTCACCATGATATAAATGACGCCAGTCGCGGTACTTTAAGCAGCTACAGTCTTGTATTGATGGTTTTGCACTACTTACAAAGTAAGTATTATGGGAGTTTTTCACTTTTTAAAACTGAAATTCAAATAAAACTTTTTTGCTCATCTCCAGTTTGCATTGTTTTAAAAAGTTTTCTTTCTATGGCCTATACAACTTTTTTATCCTGTTTTGTTGCCTTGAACTGATATTTCAGAGATTTCATTCTCTGAAAAACATTGTAAAGAAGTTTTAATATGTTTTTTATCTTTTGATAGTGCTTATTGCACTTTTATATTAAAGAACTTTCACCACTGTATTGTTGATCCACTGTCTTGCAACAGATGAGTGATCAGAAAGACCATTTTTATTTAAGACGTGTTATAGCTCTGAGGGGAAAGGTATCTCCGATGTGTTAACCAGTGCTGAAGGGAAAGGTGTCCTGGCAGTAGAGAGCTAAGAAACACCACAAAGTCACATTGCACAACAAACCTCCCACAAGAGATGGTTTTTGGGAAAAACACAGGAGGGTGACTGCCTCTGCTTGGGGAGCAGAGAATTGAGCAAAGGGTAGTTTTTATATAGGGCTTCTTGGGGGTAGCATTTTCCAGGGTGACCTGAGAATGGTGGGATGTTGTGGCCTGATCTTGGGGAGAACTCAGGGATTAGTGGAATTTGATGATCTGATCTTAGGCTTTTACTGTGTAGGACAGAGCTTGGGGCATGGTGGTTGAAGGTCTCATGGGCTGGGTTTTGAGTTTATAAGACAGAAATTAAATGATATTCTGGGCAAAAAGTTTATAATCTGTTCACTTTGGCTCCTTCTCCTTAATTAGGTTTTATGTTTGCTGGGCTGTGATGATATTTTGTTCTTTAACAAATAAAGCTTGCCTGAAGATCAGATTGCAGAACTAAATCACTAGATTCCAGGGAGTGGTGGCTCACACCTTTAATCCCAGCACTTGGGAGACACAGGCAGACGGATCTCTGTTAGTTCAAGACTACCCTGGGCTACATATAATCCAGTCCAAAAGAGAAGCAGAGCTCACACAAAGGTGATCCTAGCACTTGGGATCCCACATCTTAACTCCCAGCACTAGAGAAGTGGAGGCAGGAATGATAAGGCTGGGTGGAAAGAGGAATATAAGGTTGTACGAGGCAGGTGCTCAGGGCAGTCTGAGAAGCAGTGCCGTCTAGGCAATAAGTCTGGAGATGCAGTCTGAGGAGCCAGTCTGAGGACAGGATCGCCCCTTTGGTCTAAGCATTGTTAGAGGTAAGAACTCTCTAGTAGATGGCCACGCTACTTCTCTGATCTTCAGCATTAACTAATCTTATATCTGACTCTGGGTTTTTATTATTAATTCCAATTAGAATTTATGCTACTTTGGGCTATTCTGTTAGATTATCCTCTAGGATGTGAGGGTAGCCAGGCTGAGACATTGTCACCTTGTGGTTGCTAGTTCATTTGGATAATGTGGCTGTATACCTTCTCTTCCCATGCTCCTTCGTGTGTATCCCTTTTAGAACTGCACAGTCTGAGAAGATGACTTTCTCTGAAACAGGAGGACCATTCTTGACTCAAGGATATACAAAAAAGCTCTAGTCCCCTGATGTACCTCCAAATCAGTCCAGATTTTAAACCAATTTTATTAAAAATAATTACCATTGTTTATGAGGTCATTCTGATAAGGCTATATATTCTGTGCTTACTGGATAATTATAGTAAGTGATCACTTATAGTTTTTACCCTTTCATAACATAGTAGTGAAGGTTCCCCAGGAATATAGCACAGACTGATGTGCTCTGGATGGAACCTTTTTTTTTCGTATTTAATGTTTTGTTTACACAGTCCAATAAATAATATAATCCACATATTTTACTCAGCTAGATGCTAAGGGAAATTAAAGAGAAAAACTATTTCTAGTTAATCACAACTAGGAGTCTGAGATGTTTCCTTACTGAGTAACACTTAATTGTAATAACTTCATTAACTATGTGTGGCAGTACATTTGTGTAATTCTGACACTCGGGTGGCTTAGGACAAAAGAGTCTTAGCTTTATAGCCAGATCCTGTCTCAAAACAAAAAACAAACGAATAGGACCATAAGCATTATTAACAACTGTTACATCTGGTGGGTTACTAACAGAATGTTACCTTTTACTACTACTATATGTAAGTTGCCTGTGTGAGGGAAGTTACTGATAGGTCACTATCAGTACCATGTGGTCTTAACCAACTATTCTAGTGTAGTGGTTTAGAAAAAGTTTTATCGTGTTGTTTGGTACTTTCTGCATTTAGATTATGAAAGAAGTAACAGAGTTCATGTATGTTGACTCTCCTTTTTTTCTCAAGAGATTTATCTTAAGACAATGATCAATAGATTTACATATAAAATATTTTATAGTGTTTATTGAGTTAAAGAAGGAATCTGAGCTTTCAAGAGTGGAATGGCTAAATTAAGTATGGTTAAAATGAAAACTATATAGTCACTACCATCATGTTTTTAAGATTTTTAAGGATAAGATACTCTTGATGTACTGTCTTATACAACATAATATCAATAATTTTGTTTAAAGAATGACTGTATATTCATGTGTGCAAATACCAAGAAGTAATGTGTCAAATTTTTTTCCAATTTTTAATAGAAAATTAGAATTTTTATCTAATATTTACTATATACTGGGTAGGTGTTTTCTATATTAAACAAGATAGTCACTTTCATTTGAACATAGACTTCAAAAGAATTAAGACTTAAAATTGTTTAAGTATACCAAGCATTTTCTAGATGAGTCGTCAGAAAGGCTTGTTAAAGCGTCTTACGCCAATCACAAATTGTGTTTATTGGTCATTGTCTTGGTTATATGTTGACTTGATGATTGATTCCCTCCTTCAGAATTATTTGGAATATGGTGTGTGTTGTTTTAATCTATTCTGTATATCACTGTCGCTAATCATTTTTTTCCAGTTGTTTAGTTGTATCTTCTCTTAGATAAATTTTTCAGAACTGCTCTCATCTTTTGCCTGACAGCTCATATTTATTAAGAATTCAAAGGGTTTTTTTACACATACTATAAAGAACAACACAGAAATCATAGTATCATCCAGAGTTGAATCATTTTAATTTTAGTAGTAATTTATAAATTACGTTTACTTTGTAACATCATGCATCTCTGATATATTTACTGTATGTTCTGATATATTTACTGTATGTATCTCTGATACAAGTAAATGTTTATCTGATATATGCCTTGTCCCCTGTCCTTACTGGTCACATTAAAATTTTAATCGGTTAAGTGCATTATTAGCAAATGTACTTTAAGCAGAGGCACTTTAAGGTGTTTTGTCAAACAAATTGAAAATTTATCAAGAATTAATATTTTACCTGAATAATGAAATTATTTTAAGATTTGGTTTCTTACTGAAGTCGTCCATGTATAATGACACTGTTAGCAAATACTTGTATGTAAAAACAGTTCTATGATGTGTAACTCCATTGGCCAACTTTAAGTAATCCTCTACTGCCCTCCCCCCAAAATATTGATGAGATAGGTAATTTTTTTCTTTGTTGTTATCTCCTTATTGGGAGAGAAAATGGCCTACAAGAGACTGAAGCAATTCAGTGTTTGGCACAAGTTTTTGTGAAATTGATAACATTTTATCTCTCTGACCTTCATATTCTTACCTATAATATAAGTTGTTGGATAATGATTATTATTTAACTTTCTAAATATTCTAATACATATTTTTTTGCAATGAAGGAAACAGTTGTTCTAAATATTGGTAGATAAAAAGTCATAGCATTTTTATGGTATATGTTAGTAGTCAGTAATAGACTACATATGTTTCAATAAGTGACTAATCAAAGCATAAGAGGAAAAAAGATTTTCTAAGAGGAAGAGTTAACTGACATAAAGTTATCAGTTGGGTAGAATTAAGAACATTTATGATGAGCTAGCTTCTTTCTGGGATAGAATTTCCTAACATCCATTTTTAAATTGTTCTTCATTTTCAAAAAGCGTATTATATACTTCCAATTACATATAGTGACACAGAATATATACATTACCAGTCCAAAAGGGAGACATGGGGACATAGGGACCAAAGCAAGACTGAAACCCAGCAGGATAAACTCTAAACCCTGTAACTATGTGTCTGATGTCAAAGGGCTTAGCTGCCTCTGCCATTCTTTCTGTGTTGCCTGACACGTACATCTTTCTTGGACTGGTTCTATTCCTTTTGTGCTCTCCTGGTGATGTCTCTTGATTCTGGTATTTCTAACATCTTGGGGTCTCCAGTGCAGTCCTGTCCTCTCTTTGATAACTTCGATTGGCTTATCCAGGTTTCTATGCAGGTAGTTCCCTGGGACACGCTTGGGTTTATCGTCTCAGCCTAATTCTTTACTTATGAATCCTTCCTGTTTCTAAAGCCAGAACCATGTGGACAACACTGCCAAGTTTGACCCCCTGCTTGGGATGGAACCAGGCTCCCTTGAATCACATTCACAGTTTTCCTTGGTTGTTACTAATTTTTAGGAGCAGAAAATTTCATAGGTATTTCTTTTGTGCAAGTTGTAAACTTAGCTGCTTGGGGGGGGGGGGGGTTTGTTTTGAAGGCACCCTTCCCTCTATTGCATTCCATACCAGCCTCTCTTTGATCTTTTCATCTCTTTTATCATAGCCTTAGCTCCTACATAAACTTTCCTGGTGCTCTTTTCCTACTTCAACTGTGTATTTTGTATTTCTTTTTTCTCCAAATGTTCTTTTTCATTAAGGAAGTGCGTAAGAGAAATAATAGATAGCCATATCACAGAATCAATATTAGGTTGTTTTGAAATCTTGCCAAAGAAATTAGTCTGCTACTTTTCTATTTGGCTTCAAGAGAATTCATAGAACAACAAACAGCAGCCATATTCTTTATCAAAATATCGCAAGAATGATTTCTAGCCTAGTTAGTAATATTGTTCAACTCTGAAACCTCCTGAGTCTTGACAGTCAACATAGCTCTCAGTATTACTGCCTTCCAAGATCCTGCTAGAATGGTTCATTAAAATCTACTTAAGAGCGTTAAACCACTTCTCTGGAACTAAGTCCCAAATCCACATTCCTCCAAAAACAAAACTTATGATCAGATCTGACACATCAATAGCCTGTTTCCTGGTATCAACTTCTGTCTTAGTTACTTTTCTGTTGCTATGACAAAAGACCATAGCCATGGTAATTTATAAAAGAAAGCAATTAATTGAGCTTATGGTTTCAGAGAGTTAGAGTCCATGATAGTGGAACAAAAGCATAGCAGTAGGAACACACACACACACACACACACACACACACACACACACACACACAAACCCACTCTTGTGACATACCTCCTCCAACAAGAGCATACTTCCTAATCCTTCTCACAGTTCCAACAAGTGGGGAATGTATTAAAATATACAAGTCTTTCGAGACCATTCTCACTCGAACCACCATGATATCTTTACTTCTAAAACCTTCTAAATTCCTTAGTTTTTAAAGTTCTTTTGTTCTTTGAATGGCTCTAAGCTCAGAGGTTGGTATATTTTTCTCCCCTGTCCTTCCAAATAATGGTTCTAGAATGTAAAAATATTCTTTGTGAATTTGTCTTCTTTTTTAGTAATAATTTTAATTTATGAAGTATTTAATGGAAGAAATTTTAAGTAAACTAATTCCTGGTAAGAGAGTCACATTTATTGAAGTTTATTAAAAGCATTAAAAGTGTTGTAAAAATATAGAGAGATATAGAATTAAAGTGTCTGGGCTTGAGTTTACGTGGAGGGTCTTGTAGAATGATGTCAGAATGCCTCTGGGTGAAAGTGTTTTGACTGTGCTTGTATATATCATTACACATCAGGATAATTTTGGTAAGTAGTAAATTAAATATTTGTCTTTATAGTCCCATTCATACTCTGCACATGCTCACATTGCAAAATTTTATTTCACTGCAATTTTCAAGTTAGTAATATAGCATAGAAAAGGGAAATTTAACTATATCATACTACATTTTAGAAATAATAGGTTAGTTACAAGACTTAATTATTTGTTTGTAAATGTAGCACAGAGATCATTTAAATTCTTTTTATAGGTAGTAAAGCATTAGGTATTCTTACTGAGCTTCAATTATATATAGACCCTATTCTTAAGTACAGACTTTATTGTATACTGTTGTATTTGTTCACTACTATGAAAGAAATCTTGGAATTAAAGTACTGGTATTTTATCATACTCCACATATTGTAGGGTTATGTCTTTTGCATTACATTTATAATGATGTGAGATTATTGTTTATACATTTATTGAGATTAGGTTTGCTTAATCATTAAATTGTGAATTTCATGAGGATATTGCTTTGTTGATAGAGTGTTTTTCTAGCATGCATTAAGCCATAGGTTTTATTCCCAGTACTCAATCCAGAACAGGGACATGTGAGTACACTTCTGTGATTCTAACACTTGGGAGATGGAGGCCTGAAGACCCAAAATTCAAGGTCATCCTCAGCTAAATAGTGGGTTTGAGACAAACCTGGTTTATGTAAGACCTTGCCTGGAAAAAAAAAAAGAAATTTAATTTTAAATGAGGGTAACAGGATAATGGTTCCCCTGTGATATATTTTATTTATATTTCTAAGATGGCTGTGCAAATCTCCTGACTTAGATACCTAATCTATATTGAGGTTCTTTAAAGCAGTGTTATGAAGTTGAAGGTGACTTCAGTTTTGATTATTAAATAGCTAAATTTTCTTACCATAATTTTAATATTGCTTGTTAATAGAAATTAAATAATGAAGGGACAGTAATGACAGTGTTCTCCAATGATACGGGATCATCGAACTAATGGTATAAGAACCCTGAACTTAGTCTTAAGATTAGATGTTTTGGTAGTTAATCTGTAGAATTCTGTGGAATTCAAAATCTGTAGAAGAATTGTGCCTTGCCTATTTTGTTTGTGTTTGATGTTTAATTGAATGACTTGTGTGCCGTTATTGGTGGAGTCCTACCCTGAAACGTTGTAGGAAACATTGATTCATATAGGAGGATACATAGGTCATCAACAACCTTAGATTGTTAAATAAATTAAAAATTTAGGAGCTGTGTTCATGAAATACATGAAAATTTGAATTTTAGTATCAACCCCTGTGGTCTCATACCTGGGGTATAACTGACAAACTTTTGCATTGTAATATGAATCACGTGAATCACAGAAGCTTTGAACTTTTTCTTTTTATAGCCCTACCTGAACCCATCCTTCCATCCCTCCAAAAAATTTACCCAGTAAGTGTTTCTTATAAATTATTATAATACATAGTATGTCAATTATATATAGAATTATTATATTCAGTATCAATGTAAATATGAAAGTTATAAAGCTAAATATATAATAACATTTTCTATATAGGCAGAAGCATTGACCGCTAGAATAATTAAATACTTTGTTCAGTTTTTCGGAAAGTTCTGGTACTTTTTAGTCATTGGTATATAATCTGGTCAGTTATGTTGATATTTGGATTTTTCTTGCATGTATGCATGGCTATATTAATATGGATCACATATACTCAGTTGGTCAAGGCCCATTTGACCTTACTCCAGTTTTCCTCATACTATTTTATAATTTTCAGCATTTGTGTTTAGTTAATACTTGAGAAAAACTCCATCTTAGTGTATTTGTATTTTGAAAAGGGGAAAATTAAGCTGAACAATTGGATAATCTTTTCACATTTTGCATCATCTTGTTAAGCAGTAAACCAAAAGGTAACAGTAGTACACTATCTTGTTTGTATAATATTGAGACTTCTCATGAAATTGATAGAAAAAAGTGTGCTGCTAGCAGAAGTTTAGTATGTACTATTTCAGTTGAGAGAAGCCCAGATGAAGTAATGTGCATAGTCATCATTTATAGGCATTTTGATGCTTTTTCGTTGTTCTCATATTCTTCCACTCTGTTGTCATCAAGTTCCTGCTTTTCTTTAAAGAAGTTATTCATTGTTGTACATAAAATACAAGGATGCTTGACGTGCAACATCGTTTTAAATAAGTCTGTGATAATTGAGGTAAACTGATATCCTTGTATTTCAGTACTAGTTGTTATGATGCACACATGGGATGCTGCCTAATACAGGTTCCTAGATAGCATAGTGGATCTCCCAGTATCCTGTGCGTCATCTGCTAAAACAGACTATGATAAGAACCTCTGGCCTCTGGCTGTTTTCTTTTTTAAAACAAATTTTTACTGTTGTGAAGAATTACTCTCATGGGCTTTTAATGTAGTTAGAATCAGTCTTTATGTTCTTAGATACAAAGAACGACAATAGCAAGTATAGAACAAAAAGTAGCTTATTTAACTTTTTGTCATTCTTTTTTTAAATAGTAGCAATAGTTTCTTTTTATTTTAATATGCTTTAGGGAGTATACAAATCTGATCATTCACATCATTTCTGGGGAGCAGTGGGATGCTCCAGTTACATGAATTTAATGTTTTGTAATGGCTAAGAAAAGCAGTTAGCCACAGCACAAGCCTCCTTCAAAATGAAATGCACTGATAGCAAGACAGGTAAAGAGCCTAACTAGTGACCCTGCATGGGAAGTGGCCTCTTTGTTATTGTTGGATGTTTTCCTCTTTCCACAAATATTTTATACTTTAGCTCATACTGAATGGTCTGAAATAATGTTTGTGTGTTTTATTGTTTCAGCTTTACTTTTTTTAAGGCCCAGTTTTTGGTGTAAAAAGAGTGGCATGTTTCAGCACACAAAAAAATCCAGTACTTAAATCTAAAAGACTCTTAGTTTGTTGTGGTGGCACATACCTGCAGCTCAGTATTTGGGAGACTGAGCCAGGAGGATGATGTGTTTGAGATTAACCTAAGCTATATTGCAAGATCCTGTCTCAAAAAACAAAAACTATCTTTTACTGTATGTTGAAAGCACATCTCTGGCAATCTCACTTGCAATCCTGTGCCATGTAAAGTCCTTTTTTATTAATAATAGACATCAGTTCGGTGTACTGTGCTTGGGGTGGAAGGGGCAGTAAGCACCCTGTTTTTTACTTCCATGTTTCATTTTTCTAATTGTTTGACTTTTCTCTTATAATAGAGTTCTTATTTCTGGTCACATTCGCTTTTTATGGTTCTGTACTCTCCGTTCTTCTTTTGCTAATAGTTCTGTTTCTATGACTGTGATGAGTAAATAAACTTACTACTAGCTTAGCCCACAGCCTTGAATGATACTAAGTGTATCTGGTACAGAAGGAACACATAGATAATCTAGTATATAGGAGACAGACACAAGAGGAAGCAAGTTGAGCCAGCCTGAAGCAAAAGACAAAAAAACTAACTGTAAAATCCCCTATACTCTGGGAGTTCGAGGCCAGTCTGGTCTACAAGAGCTAGTTCCAGGACAGGCACCAAAGCTACAGAGAAACCTTGTCTTGAAAAACCAAAAANNGAAAAAAGAAAAGAAATGGTCTAATTTATATTCGTGTGTGGTTAGGCTGACATCTTAACTGTTTAAATTATAGTTATATTTGCTGTAAGATTTATGTTTATATCCCTAAAAACTTACTGCCCCCTCATATATATATTTTGGTTTTTCGAGACAGGGTTTCTCTGTGGTTTTGGAGCCTGTCCTGGAACTAGCTCTGTAGACCAGGCTGGTCTCGAACTCACAGAGATCCGCCTGCCTCTGCCTCCCGAGTGCTGGGATTAAAGGCGTGCACCACCATCGCCGGCCTAGATTTTTTAAATATGAAATTTACCTACTATTCAGTAGAATACTTTTTTAGTGGTCTATCTAAGAAACAAGCAAATCACCTTGTTTCTTCTTAATAATAACCATCACTTGCTTAGTGTATAAAATTTATTTAATCCCAGACACACAGATATGTATGATTGATGCCTAAGTCAGTGATAAAAATGGCTTTCATAGTTTGATCAAGCTATGTAGTTACAAATGAATGGTTCAAAAGCTGGCATTTCCCCCAATACTGTGTTTCCCAGGGGAAAATTATTGTAGCATTCAGTAATATAACTATAGTTGTGTATTGCATTTTATTTTATTAGTATATGGCTCCTATTCCTATAGAACTTTGAAAAAAAAACTTGGCATATTCTTAACTTACAAATGACTTAAAAGTTACATTGAAATGGGAAAAGTTTTTTTCCTATTTCTCAAGAATTATAATAAAATATGGACCCTCTTTTTTTGGTATTGGACACAGTACCTCTTTTGTAGCTCAGGTTGACTTTGACTTTTCTCTGGGGCAGCCTTTGACTTGAGTTCTAAGGATTGAATTCATGTCCTCAAACTATTTCCTCAGTCCCTGAGGTAAAATAATTTTGAAAATTGATGTATTTCAGTTCACTTGTGATACTGAATGTGACAGAAAACTATAAACATATCATTACCTTCAAAAGAGGGCTAATACTTTAAGTTAAGGAAGAAACAGCCTAAATGATAAAGTCCGACAAAGTTCAGATGGCGGAGTGTGGGTTTAAGTGTTTTTGTGTTATTGGTAGGCAGTTACAAAAGGTTGTCAGATATTTCTCATGGTTTTCTTTAAATTTATTTTAAGTTGGAAGAGAAATGGGAGATTATACTTATCCAGAAAAGTTAACATTTATTTATTATTTGGAAAATACTCTCAGGATATAGAAGAGATCATTACAAATTTTGCTTTTGAAGCTCAAAATAAGAATATCCTAAAAGTGTAAGGAAACCTTCCTTAAATTAAGAAAAGATTAAGCAGCAGTAGATGTTAATATGGAAAATCTACTTCCAGGAACTCTAATTGGTTGAATTGCTTTCCATCGATTGTAGTCTGTAATTTTAAGGCTTCTTTTCCCTTTGTAGTACTCTTTGTGCTTTCTAACATATTAGCCTAAGTTCTTCGCCTGCTTAACGATTAACATTATATATTTTTCATAAGCCAGAATCTTTTTATAGTGTGAATTATTACCCTAGGCTGAGGATTTCTGCAGAAAAAAAAATTGATTTCTATTTACTTTTAGCTTCTTTTAGGTGTGGTGTGTCCTTTTTGTTTTGTTTTTTTTTTTAAGGTTCATTTTCTCCTTCAATAGTCTGTCGTCATTGCATGACTCATATAACGTTGTACCAAAAGGAAGTAAGACTGGCCATATGGTTGTTCCAGGTCATTCAATATTTTAGTAGAGTAGGTCTCATGTCTCTTTAGTTTAATCTTATAGTTGCTGATCTTTTTTTTTTAGCTTACCGAAAAAAATAAAAATAAAAAATAATGGAAAGTCAAACAGTTACAAGAAATGTGTGTTCTGTTTTGAATCGAGTGTTGCATTACAGTGATAAGTGGTAATACAATTACCACTTATGAATCAATTAGTAAAAAGCCTTCAGAGCAGTGGCTGTTCAAAAGGGACTTGCTTTTCTTTTTAGTTGACAAAAAATAATTGTACCTACCACCTTTCTTACATTTGACCTTTATTATATTTGTTTTGCCAGAAAATGTTTTACAGTTCTAAATAATATTTCCCTAAGTCCATCTTTTTATTATTATTATTTTATTTTATTTTTTTTTGCTTTTTCGAGATAGGGTTTCTCTGTGGCTTTGGAGCCNTGTCCTGGAACTAGCTCTGTAGACCAGGCTGGTCTCGAACTCACAGAGATCCGCCTGCCTCTGCCTCCAGAGTGCTGGGATTAAAGGCGTGCGCCACCACCGCCCGGCTCCTAAGTCCATCTTTTTACCTATAAAGTGAAAGACAAAGTGAGGTAGAGGTGGTGCATTTGTTCTTTCTTCTTCTTGAGTCTTTATTATGAAATGGAACTGTTTATCTGTTTCCACATTTTTCATCTTCAGCTAGACAATTAAAAGTAGTTTGAGTTTAGTGATGCAAGTGCCTTCCTAGTATGCACAAGGTTTGGACTCTAATGCCACATAAAGAAAGCGGATATGTAGTGCATGCCTGTCATCTCTTCACTTGGGACACAGGGGTAGGAAGATCATAAATTCAAGGTCATCCTCAACTGTGTACTGAGTCTGAGGCTAGCCAGGGTTAGAGAGCCTACATTTGAGGGGAGTGGTGGTAGTGAATCTTTATGAAAATCACCCTGTTCAGATCCAGAACTTGCTGCTAATAGAGGAAAGGTCAGATATGTAAATGGGTACTATCAGCTTTAGTACAGAAGGTAACAATTCACATTCCTTATATTGGATGCCTTATTGAGACCTAGTTCACATACAACTAATAACTCCTTCATAAATAACTATGATAAAGTTTACTGAGTGTGTATTGTTTGTAGGTATTCAGTCTTCTTTCCCTCCCATCGTCTTTTCAAGTTCAGCTCACATGGAATAGCTATCTTTCTATTTCCCCTTAAAATACAACAGGAAAATCAAGCAGTGTTGAAAGTCACAAAAACTATACTATTCATAGGTTGACACTTTTGTGACCTTTGAGAAGAGTGTTAAGTTGCAGCTGGGAAGAGCTGTTGCCTTGTGCTTGATTATCTTCTTCATACATAAAGTACAACGAAATAATTAGGGAGGTATATTTTATGAATACATGTCTTTGGGTAGAATCATGAAATCTGTAATAAAGTTTGACTCATGCTTGAATTATTTTGCTACCATAATGATACACTCAAGCCAAGAACTAGAATATCTTAGTTTTTCATTTATTTTATGACCTATTCCAGGTACTATGCCGGTGAGACCTTTAATGAAAGGAAGTTTTCAAATTTTTAACTGGCCAGCACAAAAAAAATCTAACTTCAAAAACTCTAGATAAGGTTTGATAAAAGTTCTTAGTATATGTTTTAAATGGCTTTGTGTCTTTTTCCCTTTTTCTTTCAACAGGAATCTTTTAGTACTTCTGTACAGCTGCACCTTGTGCATCATACTCCATGTAATGTTCCTCCTTACCTCTCAAAGAATGAATCAAGCCTTGGGGACCTCTTACTGGGCTTTCTTAAATATTATGCTACAGAATTTGAGTAAGTAAAACTTGAAATTGTTCTTGTTTTTTTATACATAAGTGACTGCTCTAGATTTAGGGAAGCTGCATTTGTTAATTTGTAAGTGGTTCATGAGCTAGAGAACCTAACAACTAATTAATAGCAACTAAGATTTCAGTTCCTATTTTTTGATAAAAAAAACATTCATAGTTTAATAAGCCTGGTTGTAAGATTTAGGTTTTTAAAGTATGTATGTTTGGTGTAGGTTTTGTGCATGTGTAGGTACAGTGCTCATGGAGTCCAGAGAAGGGAGGTGGAGCCCCTGGAGCTGGAGTAATAGTTGTGGGCTGCTTTGTATGGGTGCTGAGTACTGAACTTGGGTCCTCTTTAAGAACAGTGCATGCTCTTAACCTCTGAGCCATTTCTCAAGCCCTGGTAATGCTTGAGGTGTTTTTTTTTTTTTTTTTTTTTTTTTTTTTTTTTTCATTTGTGCTTCTGTTTCATGTTGAGGACTCTCTAGTAGGGTCTAGGTTGGCCTTGTGTTTTAGTTCTATGTAGGTTGTATATTGTTGGAACATCTATTTTCTAGGAATTTAAAATTTATAGGAAAAAATATAGCCAAGGCAAACAGGATTTAAAAAAAAAGGATCAATATTTGAATAGTAGTTGTATTAGGGTAAAATGCAAATCAAAAAATACATCTTTTATTTGATTTGAAGGCAATATTAAACATGAAAAAAACAGTGTACAACCAGACAGCAGAACTTCTTTGGGGAGTTCTAAGTCCAGCTAGAGTAAGGCTGGTGATTTGAAATACTCTGTCAATACGGAAAGTCTGAGGGGGTGTCCTTAGGAGTTACACAAAGAGCCATAGTGACTCTAACATTATTTATGAAGGGTTTGGAGAGGGAGTGATGGCACTAATAAGTGGCTGTTAGTAGATGGAGAAGGGTTTCTAAGCAGATTTGTTACCTCATTCGGTTTCTATAGTCACTGTATGAACTTGTATTGTACCTTATATTTTACCAGTGGGTCACAGAAGGATTCAGTAAGAGATAAAGCAATATACCCAAAGAACTTATAACTAGTAAGGATAATGATTTCAGATCATTTGGTTCCAAAATTCATATTTAACTGTAATGATTACAGCGACATTGTAATTGCCTTATTTGATATCATGTAGGCAACTCTAAAGAAATCTGACTTGTATTTGAAACATAGGACATGAAAGAGGAAATACAATTCAATATGTTAGAAGTAGGGTTTCTGTGCATCTTTTGTTTGTAGTGATGACCACAGCACCTCACCTGGTGAAAAGAAGGTAAAATGCTTGTTACAGTTTTGATGCAGAGAGTGAAATTGGGAGGTTTTTAGTGTGGATCAGAGATCCTTAACATAACTTAGAAGTTACTGAAGGAAGTTAAGGAAAGGAATCAGAAAAGTGCTAGAGGAAAACTGAGTAAGAACAAAGTTAAAATAATCCAGATAAATGGGTGTGGTGAGAGAGGCAGGCAGCTTTGTGTGTTTGAGGAGAGGCTGATCTATAGGGCAAGTTCCAGGACTACACAGAGAAACCCTGTGTCGTCAAAAAAAAAAAAAAAAAAAAAGCAAGCAAACAAAATAATAATTAGGCAGTGGATGGTGAGAAAGAAGAGGCTTCATTAACAAAAGATGTAAAACTATGAAGCATGAGTTACTTTTCTCTTTTCCACCATGTGGGTCTCAGGGTTAAAGCTTAGGTCCTCAGTCTTGGTGACAAGGGTCTTTACACGATGAGCTAACTATCTCACTGGCCCTACACCAACAATCTTTATTGTCAGTATTTATTGTCGTATAAGTTAGACATTTGGTGTAAAGTTAAAGGGAAAGATCCACAGAAAAATGGATTTCTTCTGTATATAGGTGCTTTGTTGGATTGACACAAGAATGGAGATGGAAAGTGTTTTGTGTTAGTTTAACAGTAATAAAAAGTAGCTTGCTGAGTCAAATAATACTAGCTGGGAGGCTACTGTTTGAAATGAGATTTTAAGACTTCCTCATATAGTACTCATGCCAAGTACATTATTTTATACAAGATAATTTCACATAGTTGACTGTAGGGAGCTCAGCCAAGAATATCAGAGTAATGAATTAGGTACCATTTAAAAGATTCCTGGCAACTGCTAAAATGTTTGTAAAGATTTCTTCTGAATTTTATTCAACTAGAGGCATCCTCTTTACTTGGAAGCCAAAGAATTACCTGTCTGCTGAGGGGTGTTTGAGTATATATTGTACATTTTGCAGTAGTTTTTTATGACCATTTAAAAATTGCCGATTTCTTTTTTTTTTTCCCCTCCAAGTTATGCTCTCTGAAGCAAAAATTAAGTCCAGAAGTTAAGGGTCAGGCTATGCAATATAGCTGCATTCTCCTAAAACAAAACAAAGGAACTAATAAAGATAAATTAGTAAAAGTTACTTCTGGTTGTAGTTCCGCAAGCTATTATGCTGAAAAGGATGAGGCAGAAAGTTCACAAGTTTGAGGATAACTTGGGCTACAGCTTTTAGCATCAGGTATGGTGGGATATGCATGCGTTCCCAGTACACACAAGATGGAGGCAGGAGGATCAGAATTTCAAGGATGTTCCTGACTACATAGCTAGGCTGGGCTTTGTAAGACCTTGTCACAAAAACAAAACAAAAGAAGATCTTGAACGGTAGAGATTAAAGTTGGTTCAGTATGTAGTCATATCATTTTTTTCATTCCATTGTTATTAAAGAAACTCTTAGAAGCATTGTAGTAATAGAACAAAATCCTCCTTTTCTTTTTGGAACTCAACTACAGTACTTGAAGTGTTTGTTACATCTTACTGTAAACAACAACCAGTGTTAAAATGTCTCCACTGACAGCCCACTTACATGATGCATAGTTTAAAGAATGAAAACTCTGTTGATGATGTATTTCCATGCTTAGTTGTCTTTCCCAATCTCCTTCCCTGGCCTGGGTTCAAACCCACGGCCTTGTTCATGCCAGACAAACACTCTACTGCTGACATACCCCCTTTTGGTCCTTGATCTTTGGAGACAGGGTCTCTCTTTATCCCAGATTGGCTTTGAACTTGCAATCTGCCTGCCTCTGCCTTTTGAATGCTGGGGTTAGAGGTGCATGCCACCATCTTAGGCTTTCTGCCCAGCCTTTGATCGAAGCAAGAATAGAAAACTATGCTTAGAGGAAACTTTGCAATGATCAAACTTCACAAGCAGCAAATTATTTCTTACATATTTAAAATTGAAAATGAATTCTATTTCCAGAAACCTTACATTTAGGACCCATGATTATGTCTTTAGCAATTTTTTTTGATACATAGATCTTTCTTAGATTGATGTTATGATAGAGAAAGCCAAATATTGTTGATAAAAAGATTTCACCCCATCTTCAAATTTATTTTTTTCTTGCATACCAGCTGAGTGGTAATGTACTGGAGTGTTCCTTGGAAAAAAGAAAAGTGTTGTTATTTATAGTAACTCAGAAATAAAAATAAATGTTTATAATCTTTAAAGAAACATGTAAAAGTGGATAGTGCAGACAGAAGGCTTATATTCAAATATGTAAACAAAATTGTTGCACTCAAAACATTTTATTACTAGATGTGGGGTGTATATAGCTCAGTTGGTAAACTGCTTCCTAGGGTGCACAAAGCTCTAGGCTCTGTTCCCAGCTGCATAAATCGGCACTGGGAGATGGAGGTCAGAGGATCAGAAGTTTAGGGTCCTCTCGGGTACATAGCAAGTTTAGGTAACCTGGGCTACATGAAACCTTGTCTTGGTACTGTTAACTACTGCTAGTGCTTATGTAATAAGAGAGAAAACATTAATTTTGTTTTCTTCTTGCTTCTGCTAGCTGCTTTCAAAGATTTATCCTAATTCCTATAAGATGTAGTGAAGAAATGCAGTGTTATCAGAAAAAGAAAATGCCACAAGATTACCTCACAACCAATGAAAAATTCTTATTGAAGTATGAGCAGTAGACAGTGTTTATGTGTTTTTCTTATTTGAACTTTAAAGAAACATGTTTGTACTATTTCCTTTGTTAGTAAATGTGTATTCAGTATCTAGTATATACTGAGGAACTAGCTGAACAGCTAAAGATATATCTCAGTGTCCTGGAACTTAACTCTACTTGGGAGATGTATACAGAATCACACGTGATAAACATAAATACTAGACATGGAGAGCTGGCGCTGAGGGGTGGAGCCAAGTTAGCATTCTGTCAGGCAGTCAGGGTCAGCTTTCCAGTTGATGGAATTAAGGAGAGATTAGGAAAGCAGTCAGTTCTTTTCTGGTTTCTCCCTTTAGCTGGAACACTCAGATGATTTCAGTTCGTGAAGCCAAAGCCATCCCTAGGCCTGATGACATTGAATGGAAAAATAAATATATCTGTGTTGAAGGTAGGTTTCCCCTGACCACTATCTGCCAACGAATTATCATCATGGTACTAATTCCAACTTTTATTTCTGCTAAAATATCTATTTATGTTCTGAGGTGATTTATATGGTTACCTTTACATTTTTAATTTGGAAAAGCATTTAGAGTTCCTTAGTTATGAGAAATACTAAATGTGAATTTGAGCATTGTAGTTGGTATGATTTGAGCAATTCATGCATTCTTCATGCTATAGCTGATTGAAACTATATAATTTACACACACACACACACACACACACCTGCTAAAACATACAAAATTAAGAGTTAAGAATTATGGGCCTGCTTAGATTATATGACTAAAGTGAACATCTCCATCATATTTCTTTGCTTTCTTCAGGTTTTCTTTCTTAGCTACTTTTCTTTTCTTTCTTTTTTTTTTTTTTAAATATTATTATGTATACAAGATTCTGTCTGTGTGTGTATGCCTGCAGGCCAGAAGAGGGCACCAGATCTCATTACAAATGGTTGTGAGCCACCATGTGGTTGCTGGGAATTGAACTCAGGACCTTTGGAAGAGCAGGCAATGCTCTTAACCGCTGAGCCATCTCTCCCAGCCCACTTAGCTACTTTTCTTTTCAGCAACCTCTTTGATTTTTGGCTCTCATTCCTCCCTTTTAACTTTAAAAAAAAAACAAAACAAAACAAAAAAAAAAAAAAAACAAAAAACAAAACCAAACTTCATGTGATCTGTATGTCCCATCCATTCTGCCTTGTCTCTCTGTGACCTCTTCTGCTGTGTACTATGGCTGAGGGGTACACAGGCTGAGGGCATAGACTCCTGTCTTCTCTGCTTGGAATTCTTTTTCTCTCTTCAATGCTAGAGTTCTCACTGGATCTCCTGTTAAGCATCCATTCATATCATAATGTGCTGCACACTGCCCTCCGTTCGCTTCAGTGTTCTCAATCTGTGGGTTGCGACCATCGGAAAACACAGATATTTATGATTCATAAAAGTAGCAAGATTACAGTTATAAAGTTGCGACAAAAATAATTTTATGGTTGTAGTCACCACAACATGAGGAACTGTATTAAAGGGTGGCAGAATTAGGAAGGTGAGAACCGCTGCTCTACTTAAAGGCTCCCGACCTTTTCCATTCTGGACAAGATCACTTTAAAAAAAAAAAATGAGTTTAAGCTTACCCTTCTATAACACCTGACATTGTGCCCCTCTCTTAAATACAGTGGTATATTCTTTATGTAACTTTTGATTCTGCTAAATATACGTCCTTGACCATCTGTAAATCCTTAGAGATCTTATCAACTCAGTTACTCCTCTGATCATTTTTTGTCATTTCTTGAATTCCACCTACCTTACCAAACAGCTCATAACTAGATGGTGTGTATGTGTTTGTGGACATACACATCTAGTAAAAATACTAGGTTAAGCCATATGATATACTGGTAGTTTCATATAACTGAACCTAATGTAAAAGTGTTCTTGGACTGGGACATATGCCTAGCATATAGGAGGTCCTAAGTTTGATCCCCGGTGCTGAGAAAAATGAAAAGCCCATTGTACTAATCTTTTTACCTGTGCATTTCATGATGCAGAACCCTTTGATGGAACTAATACCGCCAGAGCTGTGCATGAAAAGCAGAAGTTTGATATGATCAAGGATCAGTTTTTAAAGGTAAACAGTGTATCATGTTGACCCTAAAGATGTTAGTGGACTAGTGTGCATTAAAAATGAAAAAAAAAAAAGTTAGAATACAGCCACTAATGTGACAGAAAAGAAGAGGGTAGTGTCACTTGAACTTAGAGGCACTTTTCCTCCAGAGAGAGCTAGGGAGCTTATTAAACTCAACAGATGACAATAAAACTCAGAGGACGCTTTTATTAAAATATCGGGGCATTTATTAAAGAGAAGGATTTGATGTGTGACTTGTACTTTTTTTTCCTTTTTCTGCTACTTCCACTATGACATTTTATTTTTGATATGTTTTGTGTTTGTGTCCACAATGTTAATTTATTCATCAGTAGCTTTGCTAGATGAGCTACCTGTTGGCAATGACTGGCAGTGTGGAAATGCATTGAAAGACATATGTAAGTTCAAGTGATATGCTCTTTTCCTGTCACACTAGTGGCTTTACTCTTCTAACTTTAGGAAGGAAAGGTTCAAAGGTCAGAGAAGTGAAGCTGTTTTAGAGATACTGTTTTCATTATTCGGATAGACAGACAGACTTTGATGTAATTAAAATGCAGTGTGCTGCAGGCTCTCTTCAGACTAGTTCTTCCTCACAACAAGCAAAGTAGAGCATAGTTTTCCTGTTGCTCACTTGTTCTTTAGCAGTGGGTGAGCTTCTTTTAGAATGACTTAGCAGTAAAACCAATACCATTAGATACTTGAACACTTAATGTTTTCATAAAATTGTGACCTGAACTTTTAGAATGAATAAGAATTGCAGTATCTTTTACGAATGCTTTCACTGGTTCCCAGGCGCTTGTACAAAATTTTACATTTACTCTTGCCTTCTTTTAAAATACTGGTTTTTGCTTTAAAAAAGCTACGAAAGTCATTTTCCCCTCTTAAATTCAAATAGAATACTTTGCTATTTTAGATGAAATAATTTAATCTGTAAGTTATGTTATTATTGTCACTTGAGCTTTTTTGCCACCTGTGTGCCCATTTTTTAAAAAAAATAATTGCATAGAATATTAAATAATTGTTTCTTTTTTGGTGATTAATAACATAACTTGGGAAATAAAAATAAGAAAAAATCTAAATGTATACATAGAAAGAACCACTACTAATATTCTTTTAAATTTTTCGAAATCAGTCTTTTGTTCTGTATATAGTTTGTATTTTAAGATTGATTTTTAATTTATTTTATTCCTTTCCTAGTCATGGCAAAGATTGAAAAACAAGAGAGATCTCAACAGTGTTCTGCCTTTGAGAGCTGCTACCCTGAAGAGATAGCTGCCCTCTAATTCTTAAACTCTTCCAAGAAATAAAGAACAATAGTTACATCACAATACATTTGTTTACCTCCATCATGGTTTATTTTTAATCTTGTTCTTGTTTTTGTTTTATTTTTAAAAGGACATACTTATATAAAGATTGCATATTTTATTATGACATTTCCTAATAAACTCTTTGATTTAAAAATGTATTTTTGAAAATGTTTACATTGATGGTTAGTAGTATTATGGCATGACTTTTCGGCATAAAATATATTTTGAGAAATTACCTGAACTAATAAGGTTTTGATATAATTTTAAGTAATTGTACCACATGCAAATGAAGAAGAACCATGTGGAATTTTGCAAAGGATCTAAGTAATACATATTTACAGTGTAACTGGCAGTAGACAGTTGTGTAACTCAGTTCTAGTCAAGGGAAGATTCAAGTCAGTTATTCAGTTACTTGAAGCAAATGAAATCTTTCTTCAGTGAAGTCACTGGAGTCTTGAAATACTGGACAATTGCCTTAAGTCTCCCTCCACTTGACTCTGGGACAGCCTGTCTTAGTCCTGTGTCTGTATTCGTGTTTCATTAGCACTTCACACCTCGCTTTGATCCACTCTGGGGGTTACAGGACCACTAGCAGCAGTTGGTGACCTGCTAATGGACTCTCACTTTGGAGAGAGAGCGTTTCCTATGCTTTCTGATAGCATAGTGCAGTGTACACTGTTGCTTTACCTCTGTTTTCCTGATCTTTTTCCTCATGATAGAAAACTGAACATCAAAGTTAAGATTATATCCTATTTGTAGAATCCGATTTCTGTGGATTATAATCTAAACTGGAATTTTTAGGCAGCAAGCCACTATAAAGTGTTTTAGATAAGACAGTAAAATTATAAATAAAAGTTTAATGTTTATAAAAAATCTTTTTTAGTATTTCTTTTCCACATAAAAGTAGTAGCTTCAGATACAAGCTATTCTGTTTATTAAGATTGTTTTTAGTTCATGTAAATATTTGTAAATTGGTCAGTACCTGTAAATTTAAATATAAAAAGTAATCTTGAAAGCAGTTTTAACTTTTTCAAAGATTGCAGACTTCTTGTAGGCCTATGGTGGTACAGTTTGTACCACAGAACTATTTTTTGCAGACCAATTAAAAAACTAATAATATTTGCTTTCTTTGACTTATAAAGGGTGCGTATTTTCTTTTTCTTTTAAGTTTAAATTTTTGTATGCTGTCAAATGGAATAAAGTTTATATCTGGAAATTTTTGAGGTGTAATTTTTCTGTGAAAGTCATTGATTTTGTAATAAGATTGAGGCTGTAATTATCTGAACTGGTTTGAACCCAATTCTGTGGTTAAGCCCGTCAGCCACTGTATTTCTCTGGCTTTATTGGGAATAAACGTTCCAAGTGAGTCAGTTTTTTAGATTACTTATCTGTAGTACTTTTGATGCAATTAAGCGTTTTATATATGAATTCTTTTTCTGGGAACTATTCCTGAGATTTACTGCATGCTGTGCAGCTCCTTCTCAGAATGTATTGAGTATGATGGTTAAGGGGACCACCCGGTACTGTTTGTAAATAGTGGTCGCTTAGGGACGGTGTTCTGCTTCACAGCTTCATGATGTTAATAAAGCCTCAGAGTTAACCACAGTGTGGACTCTTGCATTGCCACCTGTTCTCCTTTTTCTGTGGCCCCACCCTACTACTTTTGAGCCAATTTGTTGTTACCAAGTAAGCCAAAAAGCTGATACATTTATATCCTGGAACTAATGGGTCAGCACCTAAGATCATGTACTAGTAACAGTCCAGATTTATCAGGTAAGTGGGCTGTTAATATGTGAGACTTTTTAAAAAATTATTTTCTGTGCTGGGATTGAACTCAGCTCATCCTTGCTAAGCAAGTGCACAACCAATTGAGCTAATATCCTCAGCAGGAGGCAAATTAATTTTGTGTGAATACAACATTTTATTTTGTGTGTGTTGACTGCTCCATTTCTGTATGTTTGTATGTATTATTAAAGTATTGTTAGTGTTAAAAGTGTGGACTCTATAAACAGTTTTGTTTTGGGTTATTTAAAATAGGATCTTAGCAAAATCAGTGTTTAAAAAAAAGCCTGCCGCTCTACCCCTTAGTCTCCAGGCTGCTGTGGCTGGAGAATAGTACCTCTCCACCTGTCTCCTTTACAAACTAAACTGTGACGTGAATCTGCCATGATTAAAAATAAAGGTTTGAAGTCCTTCTTAGAAAAGTCCTTCTTAGGAAAGAATACTTTACTGCCTGTTGTACTACTACATAGGTCTGGCCTTTTTAGAAGCATTCATTACGTACCGTGGTTTGCCCTAGGTCTTTGGTCAGCCCAGTAACTTCCAAAGAACTGGGTGGTGGGACAAAGAGCATAAACATGGGTATCAGCATACTTAGTAGGCGCTTTGAGTTCCTGGAGAGGAGCAGGGAGTTGGGACTTGGGCATTTCAGAGAAAGGTGGTGATCTTGACTAAGTAAATAGGCGGGCCTTTCAGGCAGAACGCGTTCTATTTGATCTGGTGTAAATACCTGATTTCTGAAAGTGGATTAGTCAGGATTTCATCTCGGAGAATCTTAGGCTTTAGTCCTAGAGCTATGCTGAGAGGTTTAGCACTGGCTTTACTGACTCCAATGAGTCTGCTTAGTGTGGATCTAAGATAGAGGTTCTGTGAACACTTGGGCCTGATATTGTGTCGACTAGCAAGTCTAGCAAGTTCCCCAATTGTCACCGTAGTAGCAGTGAGACCTTAAAACTATCTACAAGCTGGCACCATGTCTATCAAGAATAAGGGAAGCAAGTTCCTGGCTGCGTGCTGCCTCCTGTGGCATAAAAGAACCATCCAGCAGCTCTGCTGAAGTGTAAAACCCGCCAGATCACTGGATGGAAGGTTGGGCTAGCGGGTCGCTTGACGCCCAGGTGCAGCCCTCAGCAATCCGCCCTGTTCCCAAGGTCTGCCAGAATGGGCGGGACAGTTGGCAGGGGACTGGTACCAAGGATAGCTAAGCCTTGCCCCAGAAGCTCAGTGGCGAAACTTTCTTGACGCCTTCTATTTAAAGGCCTGGGGCGCCCCCGCCCTGCGTGCCGGGAATCCGAGCAGCCTCGCGGGCCCCGGCAAAGTGCAGTCAGAGGGACAACACCGGGCGCGGGCGGCGTGGGTTGCTCTGACTCCGGCCGGGACAGGCGCGATGGCGAGCGGTGACAACAGACACGCTGCTGAGGGCTTCCTCCGCTGGGGTGCAGAAGAGGAGGCGACCCAGGAACTGGAGACGGAGGAGTCGTCGGAGGGCGAGAATGAAGAGGCCGAGTCGGAGGAGGAGCCCGACGCCAGGTAGCCTGAGCCTGTTGTGCTGGGTCCCGGGCATCGCCCAGAGCCTGGCAAAGCTGCCCACCCCACAGGTGTCTCGCTGGACCGCTGGCAGCCACCGGGGCCTTTTCCTTTGTCTTTACAACCTCAGGAGTTCATTTCCCTGGAGCCAAGCTCTCTCTGGGGTTCGCCGCCTTCTTTAAAAACTTGAAGGTGTAAGGTTCTTGCTGTCAGCTGGAGTGACAGGTCCGCCTGCAGCAAAGTTCACAGTCGGCCCCCACCCCCAACCCCCGCCTCCCAGCTCCTTGTGACTTGCTCGTTTATTCTTGGAGACTTACTTGGGGTTCTGCCTAACCGCAAAAACTGTGCTGGAATGCTTGCCGCTGGCTCCCCGTGCCTGGTCAATCTTGCCTGCCTGAGCATGGGGAAGAATCTTGAGGCAGAGAAAGCTCTGTCCATTACCTTCAAAGGTATGGCGGCCTCCTGGAATTCTAGCACTGGGCTAGTTTGCTGTATTTGTATATGCAAACTAGCTATACAAATATATATAGTTGCTAGTTTGCATATGCAAATACCCCATACATTTCTTAGAGGTAAAAATCATGAAGGCCAGGTGTGATGACCCACCCCTGTGATTCCAATAATAGGCAGAAGCAGGAACGCCATGTTTTTAAGGCCAGCTGGTCTGTATGGAGAGATATTTCAGCCACTTCTGTCCTAAGAATCGTTCTGGTCCTAAATATCTACTTATCAATAAGCTGAATGAAATTAAGCAATACTATATTTTTTTAAAAAAAATGGGACTCTCCATTTTGACCCTTTTCATGCAGGCCAAAAAAAGAACACTGGTATGGGTATCAGTCAATGATAGCTCTTGCTAGGTGCTCCTATCAGAAGACTTGGGGGGCGGGGCAAGTGAATGTGTACCGTTTCAGAATGGCACACTCAGGCCAGGAGAGCTGAAACTGAAGTAGCCCAAGAGGGCTCAGGAGGCTGGGGAGGTGGCTCAGCTGGTAAAGCGTATGCCTTGTATGCACAGAAGCAAAATTCAATCCCCAGTACCTACGTTCAATCCCCAGTACCTACGTTCAATCCCCAGTACCTACGTTCAATCCCCAGTACCTACGTTCAATCCCCAGTACCTACGTTGTTCAATCCCCAACACTGATAAAAAAACCCCAACATGGTGGCTTGTGCTTGCCATCTCCACGTTTGGGAAACAGAATCCCTGGGGCTCACTGTCCAGTCATCCTCATCTAGTTAGTGAGTTCCAGGACAGTAACAGCAGGCAGACTGTCAGAAAGAAAGGAAGGAAGGAAGGAAGGAAGGAAGGAAGGGAAGAAAAGAAAGGTAATGTGTATGTTGCAAGCAAGAAGGTTTGTACTCATAGTTAGCATGACAAAAGTTATATTATGCTGAAGGTCATCACACAAGGGTCACACAAGATTCCCAACTACAGTCCTAAGCCTGTCTCCCCAAGGCTGCTCGCCTGTGTGATGTATCTTAGCTGAAGGTCAGGTCCAGTCTCTAACAGAAGTCTCTAATTTGAGGGTCAGGACCCTGTTCACTCCAGATGTCCAAAGCAAAGCATTGCTCTTGGTCTCTGCTTAAATACTGTCCAGTGGGTGTCATGGAGTCTAGGACTATGTCTGGTTATCGTGAGTGAGTGATGTCACTGGGTTCTGTTTTTCAAGGTGTAGTGGGGTAAGAATAAGCCATTTTTCCATGTCTAAAAGGCTTTTTGTTTTGTTTTTTACTATGCTCATTACATTGACTGTGAGTAAGTCTCCACATGCATATACACGTGTACACGTAGTATTCCACATGCGTATACATGTAATCCGTGTGTACATGTAGTACTCCACATGCATAT